TTGTTGCTGTCGGTACTCGGTAACGAGCGTAAGCAGCGCTGTCCCGTGTGGTGGCAATGGCGGCCCAGCATTGGTATTCAGCATCGGCGACCGCTATTTGACTGAAGTTCAAAACGTATGGATAATATTCTCACTACACATTGCCGGCGTAAGATAGTCACCGAATGTTTGAATTACAAATGATGCGTAAGGTTCATTGATCAACTTTAAAAATAATGCCCAGGGCCAGGTAAGGAAAACAATTCTACTTATGGATAGAAGCTCCAGATTTCACTTTGTTTGATTTCTCCAATAGGTTGTGCACACGTGAATAAGTGGTGTAAATTATTTCAACGAAAGACACCTCGACATTCAATGCGTGTGTATTCAGTAACATACTGAACGAGGACCGTCTAAATTGGGAAGCAAACTCACAAGACAAGCACCTGTGTCAAGGTTCGCAGATAATTCCCTGCACAAGTCCGCGTGACACGACCGTGCGCTCAAAAATGTCTTCATCACTTGACTTATTCAAAAACACGAAAGCAAAACCTCCTCGACCCTGCCTGTTCCTCCCGAGGGCAGCCGAGACCTCATCGGGGCGCGTTGGCCGACTGCTCCATAAAGCTGAGGTTGGGCCACTCCTCTGGAGCCATAGCAGACCCAGCGGCGCCCTCCCTGCCGGCCGGTGTCACTCCCTCCTGTGAGTGACACCCGTGCGCCGAGGCCAGGTGTCGTTTGAGCGCGAATTTGCGCGACAGCACCAGATGGCAGACGGGGCAGCGGGTGCGTCCCTGGTGCACCGCGCTGTGGTAACCGAGAGACTTCCTGGTGCGAAACCACTGCGGGCACTGGTCGCACCGGAACACCCCTGAAACGACACGACCACACCAGGTCGGACGGCTGCCCTCCATTCCCGATCCCAGGCAGGGCGTGTCGAGCTGCCAATGCTAGCCCACAATTCGCTAGCGTATCCTATATGCACGACTAACAGCCGGAATACTGGAATGCTGGAATCCCAGCTTGACTAAAAATGCTCGCGTTATTGCGAAATGCGACAACCAATCGAAAAAGGTCATTGATTCAAGTAATCCCTCTCATAGACACGTCATATCTATAAATCACTACATGTATTTGCTCGTCCACTCCTCAAAGCCTATCGCAGCACAATAGGAGACAAACAGAATATGCACCACGTCCAGTGTCCACAATGTCTAATCAGCTCCGGTGGTCCCGTGGACAGAAGCCGGGCCACGCCGCTAGTAACAGAGAAATGACTCGAGTGTGGGGCGGTCAGCTGATGTTGCTCTAGCGGCTCCGTCAGGCTATTTATCGAACACCAAGCAGCTAAGCTCCCATTGATCACTCCAGGTTACCGCCCAACGTCAGGCGAATGACGAAATTCCGTTAAAAAAACAGCATGTAATGGCATATGTCCCTATTGTCCAAAGTGGTTTAACTCCTCACCAACGATCTCCCAACTAAAAGCCTTCCAAAAATGAAACATAAAAAGCGTTACACTCAAAAAGCTCAACACCTCTAACTGAATGTCTTTTTAAGTATCGAACAGCGATAGACATTTCGCGATACACAACTCTGGAAACCAGACGATACCCAACAGATGTTGGGCGATTGAGAAAATTAGACGGTCAACAGTTGTGGAAACTCCACTTTCCACTCATACAAATAAGTACAGCGTCAGCCATCTCGGTTTAAATCTGACATTGACTCGCAATCCATCGCGCTTATTTTCACAAAAAAATCGCATTGACTATAAACTGATAGAAAACATACTATTTAGGATGTTGCCAACGGTGTGCTAGGCTGTTCGTTGACAAACGAGTTATTAATTATCGGAACAAAAAGATCATTCTTCGTTCCTCACTCAGCAATACCTGATTGCTCAAATATTATCGCCACTCGACTTTCTCAACTGGTAAAAATGCGTAAGCAACTTCAAATACATACGTCACAGAAAGTTCCCCACAAATAACTGTAAGAAATTCCACCAAGAAAATACAGATCACCTCCATTATCCATCGGGCCAAATCCTGGCCATTGGAGGACTTCGGGCTGACATCCCATGACCTCAGCAGTCCACGTCGACCAACGGGTCCCACGGACCGGACAGGACACTCGAGTTTCGGGCACCCGAGTTTCGGAAGAGTTGGGCGGAACGCTGAGTCATCTGCTGATCCGAGCAGCTGAGTCAGCAGTCAGCACCTCCCGAACGGCGGTGCTCAGCGCGCTCATTCCATCCCAGACGCCCGAGCCCCGCCGGGCGGCGGCGGCGGGGGCGGGGGCGGCAGCGTCGGCGCGGGCTGGCTGCCCGACCGACTAGCCATCATTTGCGCCAGCAGCTGCACCGCCTCGGGGTGCTTCTGGAGCACGTGGTTGCGCAGGGTGCCGACGCGTCCGTACACGGCGCCGCACACGAGACACGTGGTCTTGCCAGAGTGCACGTGCATGTGGTGGTCCAGCGAGCGGTGGTTGGTGTACTCGCGGCCGCACACGGGGCACTGGAAGTGCCGCACCGCGCCTATAACACAGCGGGGAGCCGCGTCAGCCGGCCGTCACACTCCCGCTGGAGAGCACTGCGCACTGATGATGGTATTCTCGAACCACGAGCCAGGACCAGCGGCATAACCGCGCACGGTAAACTAGAGACGTCGGCAACGCTGGTAACCGCGAGTCCGGCGGGCATCAAGGAGCAATGAAACGAGATTCGGAGGTCCCCAGCGGCCCGCCAAAAAACCTTCATTGGAAATGATGGCAAACTACGGAAACACCCCGTCAGCGGGACAGAAAGAGCGGTTCACAGGTGTTAGTGAAAGATGCCAATGCACTGCTCCGACATTTCAATAGCAGAGTTTTTCAGGTTCAAACGTGCTACTGATCATTGCTGCTCGAAATAGGCAAGGATCATTCACCATTCATGTCGTGCATGGATGAATAATAAGTAAAGAGTCCAGCCAATCGCTGCACGAATTCATGTTTAATGACGCATATGTTCAATGAACTACGTAGTCAAATCATTCGCCATTTGCCGTATCCGTTGCAATATACGGGAACGGCAAAATGCGATATTTAAGAACATGAGCCATTCCCTCTAACCGTACTTAGTAGGCCGATGAAGAAAATGAGCCATTTCCTCTAGCCGCTACAACGTGAGACGGCACTGCACTGGCCGACCAACGACTTCTGATATGGACCAACGACCTTTGATCTCTAACACCAACTGCGGAAGATGGACGGATCTGACCGCGACCTGAAGAAAAGCCGCTTGGGACAGTGTCGAGGCCAGGCGTCGCCAACGGTACCAGGACCTGCCGTTCCCGGCAGCACGAGGCCTTTCGGCCCGCCGGAACCGGGGCCAGTGCCGGAGCTCACCGCGACAGCGCCGCTTTGGCCGCCGCGACGGCCGTGGCGCAGCCGACAGTATCAGAGACAGAAACAGAAAGATAAAACAGAGAGAGCGAGAAAGAATGACAGAGGCTACGGCGCTCAGCGAAGAGCGTATTGCTGGTATTCTCGTACCGAACGCCAAGACGCGGCAAATCCGACAGAAATAAGAAGACAATGACCGTGTGTGACGCGCTACGGCTCACACAGCCTTTGCTCAATCAGCTAAACAAGCCCGCCACAGCTGCTGCCCGTTCAGCATAGTGGGTAGTTTATCTCGCATACAATGAAAGCAAAGATATTTGCATAAATACTTTCACAGCCCGTACAATACTAAAACAATAAATCAGTGCGGTGTGTTGACATTGTGCGTCCGCGCCGATTGGGGGCCGGTCGCCGGCGAGCGACTTGCCCACGAGCATAGGTCACCGTTACGTTAGCAGCGGCCGCTGTCCTGGCGCGGGGTCCGAGAATACCAACAACAGACTACCCTGCGATACACACACGCATACAAACACACACTGGTCGGTGAGCGATGCTCAGGGGCCCGGGATCAAATACCTATCTGGGACGCAGCTAATCGGCTGGGGCTCTGGTAGTGTTCGCTATGTGAATAAGCTGAAACTTGATACTTATGAAAGAAACGACAGCACGTCTGTGTCCAAATAGCAGTAATGGGACCACGATTTATAGACAAGTCGCCAATGAATAAGTACTTAACTGATAGGATCTAAGAGTCAAATTGGCGAGCCTGTAAGTTCCGAAACACTAAGGCAATGAGCAGACAATGATGAGAAAGTTGGCCTTTGCCTTTGCGCCCGGCCGAAAAGGTGCGTCCCCTCCCCGACCGATCTAATAAAGGATAGCAGGACGATGGCATTGACAAGGCAGGAGCAGAATCAACAGTTCTCGGCCGCGGCCGAGCGTTTCATTTAGACAACGGAATAAACTGGTAAAAGTACGCAGGACATTTAAATATAACACCCTGGGGTTTCGATAACTTAAACAAATTGTCTGGCACGCGTAAAACAAAAGACCTAGAATCTTTCGTGTGACAAGTCTCAGCTCACTGTCGATTCTGCTTCTGTTCGTTGTCTGGGTTGGAACTCAACAAGGATTTGAAGACATTTACCTTAACGGAGCTGCTGTAAATCGGGAAACTGTCTCTGCCTCCCCAACGTACCATTTTGTCCATCCCCACTCCTCCTCTACGAATGTTTGGCTTCCGTCCCCCACCCCACGCGCCGGTAAACAGCTACAGCTCCCTACCCATCGGCGCAGTTAACAGCCTGTGTCCAAACAAACGCGTGCTACGGTGGCCCGCCCCGCCTGGTTCCCACCCACCTGGCTGACACCGAGCCTCCCCTCGCTTGGGAGCGGCTTTCGAGCAAAAATAAAACGACCACTGTTTGAGAGAATATTCACCACAGAACATGAGAGAAACGTTTTTGTTTCCTCATGTTAACGCCACCCTTTTCAGCAGGATACAGGATCGTTTCCAGGATCATTCACGTCCCTCCCGGGTGATTTTAGTGTCCTGTCATCTCCGGAGCCGGTATAGGACGGTACGGATATTGGGCCCTGAGCATCGCCCTCCGACAAAAAGAGTTTGTGCTTACCTTGTGAGCTGCCGTCTTCTGATGGTCCCGCCATCGCAGAGAGGTCTCCCATACCTGAAGAGAGTGGAGGGGGGAGGGGGAGAGAGGCGTCAGGTCGGCGGGCAGATTACTCGCATGGACACAAAAAGACTCATCCTACAAAAGCTACACAATAAATTGTGCGATGCCGTTACGCAAATCACAACGGAAATAAGCTTTAGTTAGCTGCAGCGTTTACCGACGACCAGCCGATCACCTTATCGTCTCTGGTTTATGTCTCGTGTAGACGTGTAAAAAAAAACTTGCTTAATATGTCCCACTACCGTTCCAAATTCCATCAGTTCCATTAGGCTATCCTAATTGACACCCACTGTCACCGCACGCTGCGCTGGCCGGCGGTACCCACCCTGGTCGGAGACTCTGCTTAGCAGTCCGGACATGTCGTGCGAGCCAGCCGAGTGGTCCGAGCCCTCGAACTGGGACGCCTCAAAGTTGGAGACGTGGCTGAACGTGGCCTCGAGACTCTCATCATCCTCTTCGCCCAGCTCCTCCTTCTCCACTTTGATACCACCATAGTCTCGCGAGGCAGACATTCCGGCCGGGGCTGACTGCGGTGTCCGCGGCTCCTCGGTGGCCGGAGAGGCCGGAGGCTCGGACCGCGCCGTCCCGGCCGCCGCGGACCGGAATCCTACAGAGTCCGAGTGTACCGTAGACAGGGAGGAGGTGGCGGGCGGTGCCGCCGAGAGCGACATAGGCGGCAGGGGCTGCGGCGGCGGCGGAGGTAGCGCGGCCGGCAGGGAGACGGCGGGGGCGGCGGCGGGGGCGGGGGCGGGGGCGGCAGGCGCGGCACCGGTCCGGTCCGGCGACATGGAGAGGCGCCGCCGTTTGACCGGTGGCGAGGCTGGCCGCGGCCGATTCGACAGGCCTGAGTTGAGGTGGGGCTGCTGCGACGCGCTGTTCGCCGGCCGGCCAGGGCCGCGCGGCGTCGACGGCTTCGATGACTGAAAAGTGAAAACAAATGAAGCTGGTCAGTGAACTGCATACATTCTGGACAAAAGTATTATGTTATTCAACAATCAGCTAAGCACACAAATGAACCATAAGAGCGAGATGCACAGAAAACAAAGGCAGTTATCCTGGAAGTGGACATATTGACAGTTCCACCAGCTATCCTCACCTGCTGTTGTGACTGTGCTGCTGGCTCCTCGTCCTCATCCCCAGTGAGGCCTCGGACCTGCAGCATTTCTGCAGTCTTCAGGAAGCTGCCCAGCTGCGACTGCGCCACATTCACCTCCCCCTTGTACACAAACTCTACCACAGCAGCCAGGTCCGGGTACGAGGTGTCCTTTAGGAAGAACACTGGGTGCTGACATGGGTTCTCCTGCAAGGCAAATAAACCAACTGTCAGAATGAGATGGGTCATGAGGATAAACATAAAAATATAATAATCACCAGTCAGGAATAACAATAACAAAAAATATTGTGTAAGTGTATAAATTAGGCCCCAATTAAGTAGTGACAAAAAAAAATATAACAATAAAAGCTCAGGTCATGAGTGTTTTCAAACTGTTATGTTTGAAAGTCATCTCCCCCCTATAATCCTATTTACAAAATAACAATGCACACTGTGTTGCATTACAATCACCTGAGCAGGTAGGCATCTCACCTTCAAGAGATCCCTGAAGTAAGGACTGCATGCAGACAGCATCATCCTGTGGGCCTTGATCTTGTGCCCCTCACAGCACAGAGTTATGTCGACCAGCTCTTCATCCTGCCTCAGATTGTCAAATACTGATGTCACACTATTTTGGTAATTGTTCCACTTCAGACAAAACTTCTGGCTGTCCATCCTTACCTGAAAACACAACACAAAAATCAGAATATTAATTACTGGGATCATGCAGAGCAGTTTACCCTAAAATAATAAGAACTTTAGCTAGCTAGATAGTGATGGATAAGTTTAAATAACAAGCTTGTCATCTCATTGGCAGAATAAGCAGGAGGCTTGATCAAGATGGGAACTCACTTTAATCATAACATCTAAGTAGGTAACATTCAAATCCCACCTAAAATGGGTACCCATTAAACTACTTCAAATAAAATGTTTAAGAGACCACAGTCTCAGAAACATCAAGAGACCTGATAAAATCAAAACAAAGTGTCACTATCGACCAGGTACCCTTTGAAAACGGATGTGACGTTAGTGGCCAAAAACTATTCCGCACCCGAAACCCTGCAGTTTGAGGAAGCATAAGGACCCAAATAAACACACCAAGAAATAAAGTAACAAATATTGATAACATAATGTCATACATGCACAAAGAACACCCACTATCACGCAAAATTAAGTTTCAATACATGCGCCACAAACACCAGCAACGTGCCCAACCATTCCATGCAATCAAATCGCCATGAACGTACCTAGCCAGCGGCCAATAATGATACAGACGCATGTATGATGAATTTTGAAGACGATGCCCCAATATTTCTGGCCTTATTACGGGCGGTTCGAGTGTATTTAGTAAATTTAGAAGATTTTCGGCTCGGCCAAGACGTTCCCTGAGAAAAGACGCCGTTGTTGTCAAAATGGCGACCAGCGATGCCAGATAGTTTTGGAACAAAGTCCCTAGATTTGGAAGCGGTTTCTGCAGAATTTATGAACCTTATCTCAGGATCTGAAGAGCTATTTGCCAAAAATTTGAGATTTCTTATCAAGTTAGCGTTACTGAATAATAATTTAATAATCTGAATATATTGTTGAAATTTAGGCGAAAAAATATGGCCATATTGAATATGGCATATTCAATGCAAAATTAAAGCATGTCTAGCTGAAAACATAACCGATTATTTCAGGCATGTAGCTTCATCAAGTGTTGTCAAAAGTTGGTTCAAAAGGCATCGGCGCCTGCAACAAAACAACTGCTTGGTGATTGCTCTGCTGTTCGATGTCAATACATTTTTCCATATACAGCTCCTTGCTCTCACAAAGATGGTGCGCCTCCCTTCCAACTCTTGAACGCCTTTATGTTCAAATAAGCTATCTTGATAACCATGCGTTAATCCCACTGTGGATCAGCTTCCCTCCACGAGAATGCAGTGCTGAATCTGGAAGCCACCCACTCGGATATATGCCGAAAAGGAACCACCTTCAGTTTGTTTGTTTTTTTTTCAATAGAAGAATACCATTCGAAAGAATAGTGTTTGTCTAATGAAGAAACAAGGAACAACCTTTGAGGGTACAATCCAAAGGACAAGCTTGACACTGCTGCTGCCACTGGGCACTGATCTCCTCAACTCAGCAACCACCTTCCCGGACATATGGGCCGCCTGCTTTATTAAAAAACAACACAACCCAACCATTTCAACCAGACCACGCAAGAAACTCGCACGAAGAAGTCGACCGGTCTCGCGGCCCTGCCACCCGGCCCAGTACCTGCGACCCGCGACACGGGCCCTCCGTCACAACTCACGTCACTGACGTCACACAGTTTGTGACGGGGCGTCTTTAAAAACACTGTTCGGCGGGCGGCGCACACAACGTTACAGAGTAAAACAGGCGGTGAGCGACCGAAATCCCAGCCACAAAAACTCCGCGGATCCACCAGAAACATCTGAGTCCACGCCGCGAGCGCGCGCACGAACATAATAATTTGATCACAAACCGCTACGGACGGCATAAACGCGCGCCACAGCGTGGACTCAGCTGTTTCCGGGAGTTCGCCTCTCGGCTTCACATGACAATCGTTATGGCGCAGTCGGTGCGCCCGGCCCGGCCGCCCGTACAACAGCAAATCAGCACACAATCGTCGCGCCGGGCCGGCCGAACGGTCAATCAGCTGCAGCCACGATTCCCACACCGCCACTGCCAATAGATTATACACACACACACACGGACACGCACTGCAGCATATTACTGACGATCCAGCGAAGTAAGGCCTCACGAAGCGCGCTGTCCGACCACTCACCACAAAGTCTCGCGCTGGCGACGGCGCGCGCGGGCCGCTCGCTGGCTGCCTGAGAAACGCTCCCGCACCCGCCCGCTAAAACACTTTCTCACTCTCTCACTCTTGCTCACCGATAACACGGTCCCGCGTGTGCAGCCACCGAGCACAGCGTCTGACGCGGGCGGCGAGGGGCCCGCCGCGGCACCCGTCGGCCCTCTCACAGCACAGTATTCACAATCGGGCACGGGACGCGACGCCGCGGGGTCTCACACTTCACCGTCCCGCCGCGCACACCGCATACCACACGGAGAGCGCACCTGTTGGGCCGGCGCTGGCGGGCGGCAGGCGCTGATCACAGGCGTGTTCGGCCGCGGTCCCCGATGAAAGCTCGCTCGCTCGGCGGGGTCCGGCCCCCCGCGGCGGGTGGGCGGCCTACTTGCCGTTATGGGCTCCCACAGTGTCCACGCGCCGGTAGAAGAGGATGTAGGGGACCAGCGGCGGCTCGGGGCGCAGCACGGCCGACTCGGCCACGGCCGAGATGCTGCTGTCGTCGTAGCGCACCCACTGCTGGTAGGCCGGGTGGTAGGCATCTGTGATGTAGTGGCCCTTCGTCGACTCCTTGCCGCTGTGGTAGACCACGGCGAACAGGCGGTAGCGCTTCAGGCCGGGCGCCATCTTGGTGCGCACGTTCGACAGCAGCTCTGTAGTACAAGGGGATGTGATGGAGGTCAGAACAGACAGGGCGAACGATCAGTCACGATGTGACTCGCGATAGAAGCGGCGCACTAGTGAACTATCGAAGTACAATCTACATCAATCGACGGGGCGAATACGAAGTCACGTTTGTTCTTTTTGATACAAAAGGTATACAGTTCAGCCAAGGAGCTACAGGGGAGTAGTAAAGTAATCTTGCTACATATGTATGTGTATATGTATATATCATTCATATCATGCATCACATTCAACAGCAGCGACCGAGTGATGTCCCCGACTTTTGCCCCACAATAGTTCTCGTTAGCTCACAACACTTTGCCCTCACCTTTCTTGAGCTCCAGGTCGACGGGGAAGGTGACGCGTTTGAGCAGTTTCTGCACCCCGTCCGTCTCGGGGTCGTAGAGGAACCGTTTCAGGTGGAGGATCAGTGTGGGCGGAGTGAGCTCGAGCGCCGCCTGCTGGTAGGCGTCCACCGGCTGGCCGGTCTGCGGACAGGTCAGGCCCACCACCGGGTCCCGCTCGACCAACGCCTCGAGCGCCTGCTCCACGCTCGACACCTGGGGAGACTGAGCGGGGGAGAGGGGGGGGGGGGGGCTGTCAGAGACGTGGAATGTAGATGGCGAATTGTGGGATACGTTGCACGTGACTCAGCCCGAGTTTGGTCGTACCGTTTTCCGCGTGGAATTTCCACGCTGAGGAATTCCACGCGAAAAACGGCACGTCGTGTGGAACTGGAGACTGGAGAGAACGCAAGAGGCACACATTCACTAAGAAAATATCAAACGCGGAGAAGGTTAAAAATGGCATCGGGAATACCAGGAATGAATAAATGAATAAATGAATGAAAAAATCAAAGAGCTTTGAACTACAACTACCATGACGAATTATTAACACCTCAAGAATAAATTATCTGTACCGCGTCGCGGTCTACGGTGAGGCAAGCGCTCAACTGTAATTTAAACAAATAACCTTTGCCAACAACTCGTCCTTAAGCCACGACACCATGTCGTCTCGTATCCCAACCTTACCTGTATGTCGAGCTGGAGACTGAAGAAGGACTGGACGGTGGCGGTGGCCTTGGAGCCCTGGCGGTGCAGGGCACTGCGCAGCTGGCCCGAAAACACCCGACTGATGGGCGTGGTCTGCAGCTCGGCAGAGCGCGTCACCTGACCGCGGTTCTTGCCGATGATCGTCTGTTGGAGAGCGGGGGCGGGGCGGGTTAGTGGTCATGGACACCAAAGTTGACGGCAAGGGGTGGACGGTAGGGTTGTTCAAAAAAACCGAATTTTGGAAAAGTATATGGGCTCATGGCTCATGTGGTGCGATATTCTTTTCTGAGACCAATGATGCCCTTTTTACTGAAAAGTATTAACTGTTAGGGGCTCCTCAAACGGCTTAAAGAGGACCATGTTACGCCCGCCGACCGGCCGGTGTCAATAAGGGCGAGAGTTCGACGCCGCACGGCGGCGGCAGCGCCTTATCGGCACCGCGCGCCACGACATCTGCCGGGCGGCCGGCCGGGCGGTGGGAAGTTATAAGTGCGTGGTCTTATTGCACACGATCGGGGTGAGCTATCCCATGTTTTCGGGGCGGAAAGTTTCAGTGCAGCATCGGTGCGTCTGCCACGGTGGTCTGTGTCGATGGTATAGAAAATAACTCAAGCAGAGCTCAGAAAAGAATGAATGATTCCGGGTAGTTGCCTCGAAATAATCCGTTTCAAGAATACGCTGCCTTCTTAACGTACCGTATCACTTGTTAATTCTTCAAAAAGCAAACTCTGAGCAATTACACACCTCTTTGCATTGCTGTTGACAATTTACGTTAGTTTTTGACGGTGGCTCGCACCCCCAATATGCTGCCGCGCAACTTTATTCCAACGGCGAAACGGCAACTTCGCGAGAATCGAAAATTCACGATATACGTACAGCAGGGGCTGGCAATGCAGTATGCACAAGGACAGAATATGGAGGAGACCCGACAGTCATCGGCCCAAGTTTGGGGGTGGCTTTGACGAGCATATGCGTCACCAATGTCATTATTCAGATACGTTGATGTCAGATGCTGGGGCAACAGAATCGACGCCAGGTGTAACTTAGATTAGCGGGTCGAAAGAAAACATAACATGTTTGGGGATGACAGAGTGGCCACCCTGACAGTGTGACGAAGTGAGACATGAGTAGAGACATTAGCCGGAGTACCTACTCATATAAATCAAGCGCCGTTTATCCAATCCTTCGAGCATAAGCGACGCCGGCAGTCCGGCCAGGGCGGCCGTGCCCACCGATGCCGATCAAGACCCGAATCCAGACCCGGCATAGAACACAGCTCTGCCCTGACGTGACACATTACCCCGGTGTGTCACTCATGACGGATAGACCAATGCAGGAGCCTTGCCAGCTCCTGTTGTACCTACTTCGTTAAATTTTCGATTCTCGCTAAGTTGCCGTTTCGTCGTTGGAATAGAGTTACGCGGCAGCATATTGGGGCTGCGAGCCACCGTCCAAAAGCAACTTAAATGGTCAACAGCAATGCAAAGAGGTCTGTTATTGCTCAGAGCTTGCTTTTTGAAGAATCAACAAGTGATACAGTACGTTAAGAGGGCAGCTGTATTCTTGAAACGGGTTATTTCGAGGCAACTACCCGGAATCATTCATTCTTTTCTGAGTTCTGCTTGAGTTATTTTCTATACCATCGACACAGACCACCGTAGCAGACGCACCGATGCTGCACTGAAACTTTCCGCCCCGAAAACATGGGATAGCTCACCCCGATCGTGTGCAATAAGACCACGCACTTATAACTTCCCACCGCCCAGCCGGCCGCCCGGCAGATGTCGTGGCGCGCGGTGCCGATAAGGCGCTGCCGCCGCCGTGCGGCGTCGAATTCTCGCCCTTATTGACACCGGCCGGTCGGCGGGCGTAACATGGTCCTCTTTAAGCCGTTTGAGCAGCGCCTAGCAGTAATACTTTTCGGAAAAAAGGGTATCATTGGACTCAGAAAAGAATACCGCACCACATGAGCCATGAGCCCATATACTTTTCCGAAATTCGGTTTTTTTGAACAACCCTAGTGGACGGGCATGAATCACAAGTCAGCTGCAATATTCATGATATAAGCGAACAGCACGTCAACCGATTCAGCCAACACATGCATAACCCATGCGAAAACAATACACCTGCAAACACCACTGCACATGAATCCATAGATCTATGACACTACAGAGTACACATCACCGCAGTCCGCGACGCGCATAATTATTCAAGTACAGTGTCATGGGATCTCGAACTTCGAAGCAAATGAAGCCCTTGCCCCCCCCCCCCCCCCCCAGTAAGAGCGACACGCGTCCTGTAGGCTGTATGTCAACCCCACGACCTACTTTCCTCCCGGCACCTCACTCACTCGCCGGCCACCCTTCCATCCAGTTTCCCCCAGGGTCCGTACCTGCCAGTCGTCGCTGTCACCGTCGTCGTCGTCGTCCGAGTGACGGGCGTCACCGTTGGCAGCCCCGTTCAGCGGTGGAGCGTCCTCCTCCTTACTCTTCTGGTACAGCTGAAGACGGAAATATAAAGATCGTCAGAGGCCGCCGCGATGACAGGATATACCGGGAGACACAGAGCCAAGAGGGCGGACGACGGTGGTGGCAGATGAGAGACAGTCCGTCAGAAGCTGCCGCGCTAGCAAATACGGGGACACAGAGTCCAGACTAGGACGGACGATAGTGAATAGTGATGGTTTCTGGGCTATAATGACGCCGGTTTCCCTGATCATCGTACACTAAGGAGACCCGAGTAATACCTACTGAAAGATAAAATCCAGGATCGCGTCCTAACACGATCCCCAGCCCTCTCATATTTACTCATCAGTCATCCATCGTTAATCCCAAATCCCACTCCCCAGTCTTCCACCATGTCGGTAACCCAGGTGCAGCTGATTGTGATTTCGGCAAATCACAGTTGCATGTTCGAATATCGATCATTTTCTAAACCCTCCGTCATCCAATCAGTGCTCACCCATTAGTTCATTACCCCCAGTCTTCAGCCATCGCCCCAAGACCTCATTCCTCCCCCTCATCCCTCACCTTGAGCACATCGGTCATCTCGTCCTGCAGTCCGCTCAGCAGGCACGTGAGGAACTCCTCCGCGTCCTCCTGTCGCCCGGCCACGCGGAACGCGTCCGAGCTGACCCGGGACAGCATGGCGTACACATAGCCGGGCTCGAACGGAGCGCCGTGCTGAATGTCGCGCAGCTGACCGCGCTCCCGCTCGCGCCGGGAGATACGAGGCAGCTCCGGCAGCGGAGAGAACTCCCGGATGAACTCCACCCTATGAGGAGGAAGGGAGGGGGTTAGTTTACAAAATCCATTTGGCACGAAGGAGAAGAAGTGGCACGGTGCACTGAGGCCCATTGTAAGGAGAACAAAGTCAGATGTTAACTGGATAAACTTTGCCAGGCGGAGAGAGGAGAGTAGTTTGTTGAAGTGTGAACTTATACCATACAGGTCGAAAGGGAGGGAAATCAGATAGTATATAGGAGCTGCACTCTATAGAGACGACTGACGCCAGCACTTCAGTCTGAGTGGTATCAATGAGAGTGGTGTCTGTTGAAATATATATGAATGGGTGAGCGTAATGACAGTAGCCGAACTAGGAAATTAGTTTCAAGAAGCAGCTACAAAGCGATGGATCGTTTCAACATGCAGCACAGTGATGTAACATGTTTGGACGGCAGCGCAGCGATGGGAAACAATGATACAGTTGGAGTGGAGGCTACATAACCGCTCCAAGACATTGATGAATGCATCTCGGCACTCACCACACCTAAGAGAAACCCTAAGCTTATACAGAGTTCTCTGAAGCTACTGAATCATCCGCGTAATTTTCAACGTTACCGTTACCCTGAACACTTAGTGAAGTTACCGACAATGCAAAGACGAGCGCAATTACTCTCGTACTCTTAGCTATTCATCCACTCATCAACACTTTAAAGACCAACTTTACTGGACCGGCATCGGGGTAAACATCATCGGGAGTCTTTGAAATGGTTGCACAAGAGACAAAAACCTGACCTCAAGGGACTACAAAATCGCGTGAGGCGAATGGATAGAGGTCATACACTAAAAGTCTTTGACGCCAAACGAATGAGTGATAAAGCAAAAGTTAAAGTAGCAAAGATTACCGGGGTCCGGGATAGACGCGAATGACGCGTCTGATGCGTAGTATACGAAATGTATAACATAAACGCGCTACATATATTACCCGAAGCGCAGCTGCAGCTGAGGCATCCGCTAAGGAAGGCCGGGCCGGCCGCCGGGTGGCCGCCAAGGAGGAGAATGTATCCCATCAGCCCCCGATCAATGACAACCCTCTGACAGCCGGCACACCACTGGCGCACGCCGTCGGTACTCACATGGCGTCGATGATGGGCGTGCGGCTACGGTCGGGCAGCACGCCCACGTTATGCGGCAGCGACTTCATCAGGTGGTAGAAGGGCGTACAGCTGACCAGCGCCTGCAGCACCGCGTTGATGTAGCACCAGTTGGACTTGTTGGTCAGGCCGCGCGGCTGCAGGTACACCGTCTTGTGGCACAGCTCGAAACGAGCCAGGGCCTCTGCGGAAGACACGGGTGCGTTGGCAACAAACTGATCCATTTTGAACTGCTACATATTCAAGAAAATTGTAAAAGCATGCTGGAATTTGACGGGAACAACTGAATGACATGATGCATAACAGCAGCACTGAGCTATAACATCGCTATCAGAAGGCAAAAAGAAACCAGAAGTCCGTAAGATACCACTAGACGACAGACGACTAGAGGAAGAGCCCATTTACCCCAGTTCCCAAGAATATCAGAGCCACACAACTAAATCGCCCCACCAATCGCCATCCACCCACCTCCGAGTGCCAAGATCTCCTTGTCTGTCTCCGGCACAGGCGGCGCAGGCGCCGGCTTGGGCGTGGCGGGCGCCACCGGGGCCGGCGCGGCGCCCTCAGTCTTCTTTGAGAACAGGCTCGCCCAGGAGCGGGCCGCAGGCTGGGCCGGCGCTGGGACCGGGGCCGGGGCGGGGGCCGGGGCCGGAGCGGGGACAGGAGCGGGAGCCTGGGCGGCTGCCTCCAGCTCCTCGATCCCATCCAGCTCCGGCTCCGGCAGCGGCTCCGGCGAGCTGGCGCCGTTCGTTGGGTACGGCTCCGGAGTCTCAGCCGTCTCAGAGTCCGTTCCGGCCGCCGGCTCCGGGCTGATCATCATCTCAGACTCCGGACTGCCCATCAGCCGGTCCGGCTCCGGCAGCGGGTCCGGGGAGTCGCGGCCCGAGTCCGGACCGAAGTCGACCGGCTCCGGCGGCGGGATCACGCGCCGCTGACTGACAGTCACCGTGGCCACGTATGAAGTGGGAGGCGCCGTCTCGGTGGGCTCAGCTGAGGAGGAGCGGCCGTCACCTGCGCGCTCCTCGGTCGGCTCGGGCGTGACGCCAGAGGTCTCCAGCTGCACTGCACTGTTCTCTCCTATAAGCAGTTTATGATCCAGGTTGAAACCGAAGCTGAGCCGGACCGGGCCCGTTGGGGCGGGCTCCGGCACTACGGCGGCGGCTGTCTCCACCCTACCAGCAGTGGCGGAAGGAGCGATGGAGACGGCGGTGGCCGATGGGCTGTCGGAGACCGGTGGCGGCTCGAGCTCGGCGGCCGGAGCGGGGTCCGCGTCAGCTTCAGGAGCGGGCGCGTCCTCAGCCACCGGAGGGACGTCCTCCTCCTCCGCACGACCGTACGGCTCGCAGAGCGGGGTGCGACTCTCCTCAGCGGCCCCGGGCGGCGGCTGCACCGGCATCTCCATCGGGTGCTGCTGCATGTGGTGCGGCGGCGGCGGCGGCAGCAGCACCATCTCGCCACTCGGGTAGGTCGCGTAGCCGCCGTAGCCGTACGGCAGCGGATACGGGTACTGTGCGTACTGCGCGCCGTACGGGTGTCCGGGGAACGGCTGGATCATCAGCGGCTGCCCCGTGGCGGCGCGGGGCGTCATCGCAAACCCGGGCCCGGGGAACGGCGCCGCCAGCGCCGACAGCTGCTTGTCGCCGCCCTTCTTGCCTCCAGCCGAGCGGCGTCGGTCGCCCTGCTCGGCGGCGGCCGGCGGCTCGGGAGCGCCGTACCCGGCCGGAGCCATCGGATACCCCGCTGGCGACATCTGGTACATCATGTTACCGCCCGGCGGCATGAACATGCCGGGGTAGTACCCGGGCGCCGCCTGAGGGTGGAACATAGGCGCGCCTCCGTGCATCATGTGTGCCATCATCTGGTGCGGCGCAGACATGGTGGGCATCGCCGACGGAGAGGTGGAGGGCATCTCTCCGGCCAGACCGGGCTCTGCGGACAGCGGGCGGGAAGGGGAAGGTCAGAACGGCAGCCAAGAGACAGTGTGTAGCTTCACGGGAAAAGTTATTTTATAGATGAACATATGGTAAGAACAAACGAGTCGGATGGTTGTCAGCTCACTCATAGTTTACTGGTTGATCAAGACGTGAAATACAGCATTTCAGCTCAGCCTAGTCACTTGTGCATTGTTTGTTTAATGGGGCTTTAGGACGTGCCGACTACTAAGGTCATTTTCGCCCTAAATACTTGTGTCTGAGGCAAACAATGACAACAAACGATCTCTCGGTACAGTTCCATCAGCAATACAAGAAATGGAGCTTTTGTAGTTATGGTTAGCAGAAAAAAAGGACTGTCTGACGATAAACACTCAAATCTGCACTACATGTCACAAGTGTATGCATCATCATTAGTCTAAAGATCACAAAAATGAGTAGTAGCACACCTTGAACGGCAAAAACATTGTTGAAAATACCAGCTGCTATAGGTTTTGGTCTTCACTTTTTGTAAATGACTAGTAAAAGCGCAAAGGACCAAGTGCAAGCTAGATACTAAGGGAAATCACTACATGTTATGTTCTTGTAAACCGTTTATGCAAAAAATTGTACATACAACACGGGCTCACTCATGGACAATCGCCAGTTGCTCTGGACAACCGCGGCGATTCCTATTTTACTTTACTTCGTAAAGTAAAATAGGAGTCTGCGGCACACTGGAGACGATTCACTGACTAATTTTTGTTGCCAACTAGCTAGTTAATCCCGTCCGTTTCCCCTGGATCTCCAAACTGAGGGCAGTTCGCGTCCCTGTCAAGTGGACGGGCAGGGACCTGCCGCTTCACAGCACACACCACTCGCCCAGCCTAGCTCGGCGTCAGTTGAGGGCGTCAGGGGCTGTTAGACAACTCGTCAAACCACCGCACACAGGACCACGTCAGGCGCGGCCAGTCTTACCGCCAGCCGGCTCGTCCGGCCCTGGAGGACATCCGTGCGGTGGCTCCGGCTCTGACTCCGACTCCATCTCCGCCGGAGTCACAGTCTCCGACTGCTGAGGAGCCTCGGTGACAACCTGCAAAGGTGTCCCCGTTCCGGGCAGCAGCGGCGTGCCTGTTTGTACCTGAAAGGAAGCTCCCGTCTCTGCCCGCTGAAGCGTCTCAGCCAGACAAGACACCGCCCGAGACGTCTCCGTCTCAGTCCCTGAGTGAGTTTCACTGTCCTGCCGTGAGTCCAGCGGGGGTATATTCCCCGCCTCGTCCGACCACTGTCCGCCACTCGGCAGGCACGTACGGTTGGTAGGTGGCACGATGGGGGTGCGCTGCCGCTGCTGCTGCTGCTGCTGCGGCTGCGGTTGCTGAGGTGGTGGAGGCGGCTGCGGCGGCGGCGGCGACTCGGCGGCGCGCGGGACGGCCTCGTCGGCGTCATATTCGGTCCCGTCCGGCGGCAAGCGGCACGTCTCAGGCACCGGCTGTCGGAAGAGCAAGGGAGAGCGGTCAGCGGGGCGAGAAAGGGAGCACGGGGGTCAGAGGGGTGAGGGAAAGTGCACGACGGACGTCAGCGAGAAACGGCCAGAAGGGCGAGAAGTCAGAAACAGGAAACATGAACCGTGAATCAAGGGACTGTCTCTGCTTTCCCATAAGCATCTATTGTTTAAAAGTATTTGCATAAATCAAACCATCTGACCAGACAAGGAAATAAAGCTTCCTAGAAGACATAATGATAAAACAAAAACCATGAACAATTTCTTGTGTCTATCAACTACCTACATAGTTAACCCCCCCCCCCCCCGCCCCCGTTCCCCTGGATCTACCCTCAGGGTGTACCGCTGCGGCGCGAGAGGTACCCGCCCGTACCTGTTCTGGCTTCTCGCAGACGGGCAGCTGCACCTTGCAGCTGTGGGTCAGAATGCGTTGCAGCAGGGCCAGGTCCGCGTCTGAGGCGCCGCGCAGGTCCAGGAAGGTCAGCTGCTCCTGGCCCGCCTGGTCGGACACAGAAACCTGTTCAACAGCCACGGGAAAACTACTGTCAGCATCCGACCACACACACCTTTTCCAGAAACACTTCCCTATCAGATAGGTAGCTGCTACAATGAGCAAGGGTACCTGTTCTGTAAAGCTACAGATTGAGCTACAGCGCCGCGGAAAAGCGCATCCCTCCTGCCTTCAGGATGGCTGAGCCATTCAATCACTTGCTGAGCGTTTCATGCCATAAGCATGATTGTGGCTAAGCATCAAGATTACTTTACTTGCTAAGCATGACTTCTGATAAAATTTTGTAAAAAAAAAAAAATGATGAAGCAAATAATGATGGATGTGATGAGCTGTATGATATAGGTACGTACCTAGAAACTAGTGAGCTAGTTAATAAGCAAAATTTATATTCATTTTCTTATCAAGATTTCCAATAAAATTACTATAAGCTGTTAATGTGAACACTCTGATCCAGGCAGCCATGTAGCTCCTCTATTGGCCATATGCTCTCGCTCCCGCGCCCCGCTGGGGGTCCTGGATTTCCACGCTCTGCTGGAGGGGGAGGCCGGTGTTTGAACATCCCCTCCCCCTCTAACTCTGCTCCCGGGCCACGTAGCAACACGCAGTAAGCGACATTCGATAGCACGTCCAAAATAAGGACAAGAGTACTTCAGTCATTTTCTAGGTGAGGTCAAAGGCCAGATCACCAGAGGACATAACAGGTAAAATGTTGCTTATTTCAACATTTTTCGAAACACTGGCATATAACTCGGGAATCAATAGAGCTACATCGCCGCGGAAAAGCGCGTTCGATAGTCCTTTTAACTCTTTCCGGGGTGTGTCTTCAGATTTGACCTCGGGTCAACGGTTTAGCCCTGAGAGATATTCGTGAAAAAAAACTGGGGATATTTAAACACATTCCTCAGCAGGGTGCAGGTTAAGTGATATCATCTCATTTGGCAATCACTTGCCAACTCTCTTTCATTCAAGCTGAAAGGCCACAAGGTAAACTCTACACGGCAGAAATACCAGATGAGGTTAGTATGGTAACATAAACAGACATTTGACTGATGTGGAATGGGTATTTCTTTCAGTTTGGTCAATTTACCTAGACTGTAATGACTAGAGATACCTTCTATCAGGGCCGCGGAGTCGGAGTCGGAGTCAGAGTCGGAGTCGGTCGGAGTCGACAGTTGTGACCGGAGTCGGAGTCGGAGTCGATATTGGAAACCCCAGCCGGAGTCGGAGTCGGAGTCACCGAAAATCTGTCGACTCCGCAGCCCTGCCAGGTGTGCGGAGTCGGAGTCGGGAGTTGGAGTCGATCGGAGTCGACATTTCTGCCCGGAGTCGGAGTCGGAGTTGGTTTTTGAAAGCCGGAGTCGGAGTCGCCGTAAATCCATCGACTCCGCAGTCCTGCCTACTATACTACGACTACTACAAGAGATACTCGCCTGACCACCTGTGCCGGGGGCTATCGCGGATGCGTAACTCAGCCGCGTGTGGTGCTGATGGTTTATGTATTCGTTTTATAAAACTATGTTTGCCATCAATCTGTCAGGTTATCACTCACATCGCAAATAGTAGTCTTAGTTGATAGTTCGCATCATGTCCCAGCCTCATGGAAGGTGGCACTTGTTCACTCAATTCAGAAATCACCAAAATCCACCGAGGTCACGACCCTTTTCTATCGACCCATTTCCATTTTACCTACCGTAGCGAAAATTGAGTGCATAGTCTACGAACAGCTTTTTCACTACTTCGCAGCTCACAATATTTTCTCGCCCTCTCAGCATGGTTTTAGTCTTTAGACATAACCATTTGACAGACACAGCACTTTTATCGACCACTGATAATGTTTTTTTTCTGCTATGGACCGTAGACAAGTCACGCTTTTATGCCTCCTCGACTGCTCAAAATGTTTTGATGTAATTCCCCACGGCCCACTGTTGCGCAAACTTCAGCTCTATGGCGTAGACACCTGCTGGTTTGGTAGTTATCTTGACGGTCACTATTAGCGGGTGCAGCTCCATATGTGCGTCAGGGCGATCTGTGACCTCAGACGCGCTACCGAACCCGATCGGCACATATCAAGGCTCGGCACTCGGGCCGCTCTTATTCTCCATTTATGCCAACGACCTACCTCTGTACACGGACGGCGCACACGTCGTGCAATACGCAGACGGCACCCAGGTGGCGGTCTCTGGTGGGATCAGCAACATCGACACCCTGGTACAGCATATGGAATATAACCTGGCTCTCCTTTCTCGATGGTTTGGCAAGAACTGGATCAAAAGCAACGCACAAAAGACACAGTTCAGCATTCTTGGATCACGTCAATACATTCAAGGTCTAACCCTAGTCCACATCAATTTATGGGTGCCGAGGTCGTCCACACCGTCCTAAACCTGGGTGTCACGTTCGACCAGCAGATGACCTTTGCGTCTCATGCAGACAGTGTTGTGCAGAAATGCACCAGTATGTTGCATGATTGAGCCACAGCAGGCACGCTCTACCACAGACAACCCTGTTCACGCTTATCCAAGGACTAGTTATATCGCGCATTTTGTAGGTACTGTTTGGTTGTGTACGGCGTGTGCAATGAGACTCAGATGAGTCGCGTTCAGAAGGTGCTGAGCTTTGCCGTCCGTGTTTTATCCGATCGTAGGAAGTTTGACCACGTTAGCGACATTTTGGACCGATATGATTGGCTCACTGCGGAGCACCTTTACCTGTACCGAGGTCTTAGCTTACTGAAGCGCATGTTAGTGATATCAGAGCCTGAGTCGATCGCCGGCGATCTGGTCACTCGTGGTGATGTTCACCGCCGTACCACACGGAACGCGGACCATCTAGTCACGCCGGCGATTCGATCGGAGTCTGGCAAGCGTCGTTTTAGACACACTATTAAACACCGCATTTAACACCTTGCCAAGCGAGACACGAAACCTGACTGGAAGCCGCCTTGTTAGTGAGATAAAGCAGCACTTGATGATGAGGCAGCGGGGCGGGGTTGGTTAGATGTGTGCATGTGTGTGTATGTGTATGCTGACCCAACTGATCATCTGTTTTATCTTAACAACTCCAGGGTGCAGAATAGCCATAATTATGTGGATGTGCCCTATGACGTGAATACATACAAACATACATACTACTGAGAAAAAAGACCATACATATTAAAGATATAATGTTAACTGCATTTGAAACTACCTGTTGAATAAGTGTCACAAATGAAATATAATAAGTTAAATTTTGTGGATACAATTATATTTGCTTAGTAATTTAGAAATAATCAGAGCCCATCAAATTATTTAGCATATTAATTTGATATTATCTAGAGGTGACTTGACTAAAATACAATGTAAATTGATTTACATCTTACGTAATACCTAATTCCTCTGTCCACTGCTACCAAAAAAAGACAATTTACTGATGCTTCATGGCTACAATGAAATAATGTCAACTGTTGGTTAGTTTTATTTCAAAAAGACATTATTCCAGAATAGTTGCATCTCATTTCTCGTCAATTATGAATAAGCACTTTTCATTGGAATGCATCTGATCTTTGATTAGAAGAGTAAAAAATGCATTAACTGGTAATCAAATTAAAAAGGCAATGCAATGATCTAATTTTATCAACAATCCAGGATTACATAATACCTACAACACCAAATTAAAGGAAATAGTTTAACATAGGGTTAACTTTCAACATAGGGCTTTGAACTGGAATAGCAATTTTGTAGCTTGAGCTGAGACTAGCACAAATCAGAAGCTTTTACAGCCCAACGATCACTGTAGACTAAGATATTCCATTTCTCATTCAGAAGAGTGCCTTGCAGAGGAATGCACGCCTTGCTGAGGAATGCAGCCACGTCATCGTCAACCAATCAGAATGCTGCTTGCAGCCAATGGGTTTGTACTACGCAATATGATTGGTCAATGTATAAGTAAGCTTCCGCGTCAAACATTATTTTATTTAGAAGATAGTTCTTCCTATATTAAAATAAAGAAAAGCTTCTTTACAAAAAGGTTTTATTTTTTCTGATCATTTTGAGCATTGAAAATCATAAATCCATTGCAAAAAAACTAGTTTCAGGAAAGTGAGCTATTCCTTAAAGCCAGCCCTAGGCACCCCCTCCTGGCTTCTGAGGTATGACCAAGTTTACTACATATTTAAAATTTGTGCCTAATGTTGATGTGATCATCTCCCCAAAAATGCACAAATAGGGCGATTTGTTTCTTCTTAACTCCATCTGTGTTTAGAAGTCAAGTATTTATGAAGTTATTTTCATAAAACCAAAATTTCCAGAAGAAGTCGAGACAAATATGGCGCACTGCAAAAAGCACACGTGGGAGAAACATCCACACCTATTATATCCTTCAGAGGCGATGGAATAAAAAGGTTCTCCAAGAATAAGTTTCTCCATAAACACTTATCTATAAAATATCAGCATAAGTCATCATATCAAAGTATTACAACCGCCAGCCCATACCATAGACCCAAAGTAAGCGAAGTACTTACATTCGTCGTAGATTCCATTTTAGGCAATCCTTCAACAAATTTCCACAAGAAACATCACTTGCGGCACGTCTCAATATTATACCAATATTGTGTGAGCTTTCATAACGTCCGAAGAGGTCAAATATCTTATATCCACATGTCGCAACACGAATGCCGACAAGAAAAGGCAAATTTCAGGCGGGTGGTTATTCATTCAAGGTTATCGTTTCACTTAGCACTAATTTACTGCCAGACTCTGTTGCGTACCAAAAACTACACAAGCCAGCAACCATAAGTAGTCAAATGTGTAGGTTTATTGAATCAAATACCTAATAAGATCTAGAGCCTTGCGATAAATAGATTTTAACCTGTGACCATGTTCAATATTACATATATTACAATATATTACAATATATTACATATAATTCAATATATTACAATATTATTGTATATGAATATTATCATGTCACATTGGTCAAGGTATTCTCATATTGTCTGGTTCACAACATTGGGCGGTGGGCCAAGATGGGTCGAGCGAGGCCAGAAAAAAGAACGGAATATCCTTCCTTTATGTTGGGGAAGGAAGTTGGTGCCAGTAAAGAAAATCAAAATTAAAAAGAGCGTATAAGGGCTCCGGCTCGGCTATAGAGACACGGAGGCCGACGGATTTTCGGCTCCACTTCCGACTCCGGGCATCCCTCTTCAAATAACCTGACATAATTATAGAAAAGACCCCATGCTCGTGCAGGCAGGGGTCTTTCTCACTTAGGAGTTGGCAAAAGGATGGGAGGAATCCCGGGGGCCCTAGTCGATGAAGGAGCCCTCCTCTCTACAGAAGGCCTCCTCTCTACAGACGGCTTCCTTTCTAAAGAGGGCCTCCTCCCCACAGAGGGCCTGACCAACCTAGTACCTACAGAGGGCCTCCTCTCAACTGAGGAGTGTAGCAAGGCTACATCTTGGGACGTCGTAACATTTTCCAGATCGGGACCCAGCCGCCCGCCATACTCCCCTCCCCATACTCAGTAGCAGCAGTCATCATACCGTGGCGCACTGGTCACAAGCCTTCCATCCCAACACCTCATCCCCACCAGTGTCAGCGCCGGCGGGACAGAGAGCCGGTCGGCCGCCGCCGCCGTAGCGTCAGCAAATTCTCGTCTAGAACGGACTACCGTCCTCAGTAACCCCGCAGGATGAGCGACAGAGGCACCTCACAGCCCCGAATGAGCTGCTGTGGCGTAATGACCACAGTCCGCTGTCATCGCCACATGCCTGCCCTCACTGCGACTCATCCACAACTGAGTCAGCAACGGCCGGCCGCCGTCGCCGCAGAGTCAGCAGTCCCATCCGAGTCGGGTGACTCTCTCCAACGACCCAGGGGCGGAGCCGCGAGGGTACGTCATCAACCCCTCCCCGAAGAGCCCCAAATGGTCACCAGGGGACAGCACAGGACCGAAGTCGCAAAATCCATCAGCATTGGAAGAGGACGCTGAAAACACGCAAGTAAAAGGTTACATCAAACACTGGACGTCAAATCGTAGCTAATATACAAGAGAACTTCAAGAAACCAGTAAAATTTCAAGACATAAATTGCATCCCAGACGGTACCCTGGGAGCGGACCAATCAGAGAAGAGTTGGCAATGACGCATCAGAGCGGCGGAGGAGCGCTCGCCGCCGGAGGCGGACGGACAGATCCCTGGGGGACTCCGGCCGAGAGACACACGCCCGATCCCACCATGTAAGTTCCCTGAAATTATCCTGGCGGCTGGGTGGGGTAAATTAAACGAGGTTTAAGAAATTTATATTATGAATTAACAACGTAACGAATACAGTTAAATTTCAATACCGTACAGGCTGGACGCGGGTTACCAAAGCTTATTTAGGAATATTGTGTGTGGATTTTACCTGATTGATTATTATTCGGAAAATGCGTTGTAACTTGGAAACCGATTTACTCCATGATAGAAGCTGCGGAAAAGGCAGGACTTTTCGTAGGAATCAGTACCTTCGTGGGTTGGCGAGGAGAACTGGCACATACAGCGTGATATTTTGTTTCCAATGATTGAATGAAACTGGCTTAGTTTCCGGAACGTGTAATAAGATAAGATCTGTTTAGCTTTGTTGGTTAGGAAATCTTCGAATGATTAAATGTTAGGTTACAATTACCAAACCAGAGTATGCTATCAGTTGTAAAGGAAAATGTTCCCTATTGACTTATCGTCGCTGGCGGAGAGGCGTACCATTTCTTTACTGTTTTATTGTTAACGCTTGCTCCCTTTGCTTCGCTTCACAAATATATCAATCTGTTATTTTCATAAAGAGTCTTGAGGGAAATTTCGGGAAAGGGTAGGAAGTTATCATTACAAAATGAAGGGTCGGAAAGACAGGGAGAACACGAGGGTAAATCGGGACGATCGGGACAAGGGAGAATTATGGGTGGCAGCAGAGAAAGACGTATAGCTGCGAACACTGACTCATCCGCGCACTGGTCGGAGGCTGAGGAGCTGGCCCGGAGAAGTTCCAGAAAGGTGAGTGATTTTCTTTCATTGTAATGTTGCGGTGTTCCGAAATCAGTAGAATGTTTTCTGTAAATTCTCCGAAGGTTGTGTAAGTACATAGATATCAGGATAGGATTCGGGAAGTAGGATTAAAGATATTAGGATGTACATCCGTTCGGTTGTTTATGGGATCAACGACTAAAATATGCCCTGCATTCCTTTCATACGCCCATCCTAAAGCCCCGACGAGTTACTGGTGATCAGTTCTCGTCGTAACCCGTCCATTCGCTCATCCTAAGCCCCGACGAGTTACTGGTGATCAGTTCTCGTCGTAACCCGTCCATTCGCTCATCCTACGCCCCGACGAGTTACTGGTGATCAGTTCTCGTCGTAACCCGTCCAAACACTCATCCTAAGCCCCGACGAGTTACTGGTGATCAGTTCTCGTCGTAACCCGTCCAAACGCTCATCCTAAGCCCCGACGAGTTACTGGTGATCAGTTCTTGTCGTACCCGTCCATTCGCTCATCCTACGCCCCGACGAGTTACTGGTGATCAGTTCTTGTCGTACCCGTCCAAACGCTCATCCTAAGCCCCGACGAGTTACTGGTGATCAGTTCTTGTCGTAACCCGTCCAAACGCTCATCCTAAGCCCCGACGAGTTACTGGTGATCAGTTCTTGTCGTACCCGTCCATTCGCTCATCCTAAGTCCCGACGAGTTACTGGTGATCAGTTCTTGTCGTAACTCGTCCAAACGCTCATCCTAAAGCCCCGTCGAGTTACTGGTGATCAGTTCTCGCCGTACCCTGTCCGAAGGAGAGCTCCAATCTAGACCCCCGGTACTAAATATATTATCCATCAGTCTTCCCACTAATAGTCGTTGATTTCCGTTGAGTAAGCAAAGTATGGGTTCAGTAAGATCAAGATAGGAAGGATAACGAGCAGTTAAACTTGTGAGTGCTCGCCTTGACCGAGCCGTATTTTGTGAGTTAAAACGTTAGTTGTTTAGGGTGAGAGAAGAGGATATGATTTTACAAAGGGATTTACGAGGAACGGGTTAAGAGGCGCCAGACGTTGATTTGAGCAAGGCTAAAGTAGGATGTTAGCCTTGACGGGAAATGATTATTCCGTTAAACCGTTGCTTTACGCTATTACAATTATACAGTGGGACGCAAGGAAAGGGATACGAGTGCGAAGTAGGAATAGGGCAGGTAGTCCGAGGCGAGGTGTTATTGATGCGATGGGTAGGAATTCCTCGGGAAATGTAAGGGAGTCGAGAGTAGGTTGAGGCGGGAAGTTTCCATTTTTTTTTTTAATTATCGTACGGGCAATTGTTTTTTTTTCGAGGCTAGACGGCTTGTGTGCCCGGCTTCTATGTCGATATTTCTACCAACATGGCTTTTGTACAGTTGAGTGCGTACAGCGAGAGGTCTGTATTGTCAGGGCGGTGTCAACAATGTCTGCACGTCTTATTTCGACCGAGAGTAGGGGCCGTAGCGTAGTGTCGTGAGGTAGTGACGTCGGTAGGTTTGTCAGTAGGTGGAAAGGTGGATTGAGTTGGAGTTGCAGGGTAAGCAAACGAAGTAGTGAGAGGTATGTAGGTCGTTCGGATAATTTTGGTGGTCAAGGTAGTTGAGCCCCTGTAAAAGTTAGTGAGGCCTGATAAGTCCTAGTCGGTGGGAATCGATAAGTCCTCGGAGTCGACGGGCTCCCCCGTAAAAGTTAGGCCGAGATGTGGTGACGTCGAGTGACGTGGTGCAGTGTATGTTGTGTTAGTGGTAACTCGGCAGGCCGACGGGCCCTAAATTGAGGCAGGCCCGGGATGGGACAGCATGGTAGCCTCCGGTAAGTTTTTACGTAGCTTCTTTGTTATATGGCGGATAGCAGACAGAAGACGACACTTAAGACCCTGTTAGCGAGAATGTATGCAGTTTAATGGACATTTATCCAGCCTGGGGGTCAATCTTTCATTTGGTCACCGGCACTACTGGAGGGAGATTTTCGGGGGCAACGCAAACCAAAATAGGAGTGTGTAAGACGTGAAAGGGGTATAATGAATGGAGATGGACGAATCTTAGGTTAAGGACCAGTAGGAGTTGCGTTGAACTCAGTCGGAATGATCAGATAAAATGACACTCGAGGGTATACAGAATTTAAGCATTAAAATATCATTCAACACCGCAAAGCCAATTCAATGTACCAGAATGACCAGCCTCAAATAACATAAAGCATCGACTATCACCCGATGCAATATTGTCTGCAAGGGAGGACTTTCATCATATTCTATCTTTTCTCTATCTTTCTTCTTCCTCTATATTATTTCTTCTCATTTTCCTCTTTGACCGTCTATCGAGGGAGTACTGACGAAAGGTGGCGGTTTTTTTTCATTCCTAACTATAATTTCACCCTTCAACTTCACTTTTCCACTTTTCCCACTTTCCTATCAGTCTCCCGCGCTACAGGAGTCAGAGGAGCCCTAGCGGTCAGACACAGACACTAGCGTGTATTCACAGGAGGCCCCAGGCAGTAAGAAGGACCCTATCCTATATATGGCCTTGACCGGTGACCCTATCTGTCAGGCTGGTCAGAGCGGTCAGAGGGCCCTTGTGGCCTGACGAAAATTTTGGGATTCCCGTGAATTTCGTTCGCCTCCCACGTGATTTTGGCCAACGTGGGCCTTCGGCCCGCGGAGGCCCTGATTACATCCGGGGCCCTGGAAACTCCAAGGAGGCGCACCCCGTCCGTGCACCCTGAATCCAATTTCATAGAGGCGGGCATTTCTCTCAGCTCATCGAGATAATCACCCATTCCCAGAGTCCACATCGGCCCTGGAGCCCAACGCTGGCCTGAAAGGATCTCACACACGTCTGAGAGAGCTCAGAACTGGCATAAACGCCGACGTAAACAAGGCACAAAACACCGTTCCGTGCTTCTATCCTCAGGATACCGAAATCCTTCTCCTCCACGCCGCAACCCCCCTCCGGGCTGGACAGGCAACTTTATCTCATGCGGGTTGCATGCTCCCTTGGAGCGGCACCGCTGCTCCCGAGGGAGCGCACCCCGTAGCCGGGTGCAGTGAGTACTTTGGGACTGGGTGGCCTGTCCTCTGGACGGGCTCAGCCCCGGTGACTCACTAGGGTGCCTGCCCAGACCAATGTCTCCCCCTAAATCATATCATCCTCCCGGCTCTGAAATGGTCCCATTGGACCGAAAGGGCCTAACCCAACAAAACAAAACAAAACAAAACAAAACAAAACAAACAAAAACAAACAAGGCACAAAACAAACTCCAGTTAGCTGCTCGGCTGATATGTATTTCTATTTTGTGCATAGTACTTTGTTTCCGACACTGTCAAGGCAAAGCTATCTGAAGAATGGAGATACCGACCAACTGTTGTGATGCGACGTGATATACACCTACTCATACCTCACACAGTACACAGCACACATGCCTCCATAATTACTACAATATGACTGTAAAATACGTACGGTATATTGGTTCGAAAAATGTGCACATCTTCGGACAGCTTCTCGCTAATCTCGGGCCAATATAATGCCTAATGGCCAAATATGCATGAATATCGGCATACGGATACATTACAGTTGCTTGGGCCACTTTGGCCACTACGTTCAACAACGTTACGGCACCTACATAGTTATATACCTACCAGTGTACCTTCATATGGCGTAGCATGTCTATTTGTGTCCAGTATCAGTATGTATATACATAGGTACCAACTACCACCTGTAGGTATCGTTTGCCCATAAAAGGGAAGAATTCGTATCTGCCTATGTTTTTACACCTTGCACGATGCTTTGATAAAGCTGAAAATACTGTCCTACTTTTACTATAGGTAGGGGAAGTTGGGGCAATGCCGGAGTTGGGGCAAAGCCGAAATTCGAGATATTTCGAAAACCGTAAGACATGGATGCCACCTGTCAGTGATGCTCTGAAGCTTAAAGGGACACTCCCACCTTAACATTAGTTTTGAGTTGAGATAGCCAAATTGGTGGCCATGGCCTGCAAATACCGGTTTGGGCACTCACAACATCGACAAATGCTTTAATTCGGAGATATGGAATTTCAAACTTGCAGTTTTCGGATTCTAAGGGGCTAGTGCATTGGTATGCCCCCTTAGAATTTGTGACGTCAGCGGAGATCTAACGATTTTTAAATCTTTTACTAAAACGTTTGGTAGCACGCGGTGGTATATGCTGCTTTGCGCGCAACAAATGCCGCACTTTCAAATAAAGTCGCTAGGAACAGCGGAGATCCCAAAAAGTAAACAAAAGTAAAAGTCTAATATCTTGAAAACCGGTGAATATTTTTCGATGAAATTTGGTAGATATTCGTTTTCGCTCTTTCTGAACCGAGCGACATCACTTTCGTGCCAATTCATTAACTTTTTTGAAGGTGGGAGGGTCCCTTTAAGTGACTACAATTATCGCATGTTTGTTACGAGTCGTCATTCGGAATACTTCGGCTGTGAGGGCGCCAAGAGCGTTTTCAAGGTACGCGTTCCTTGTACTACATGCGCCTTTGAAGCTGCATTTCTTACTCATTATCCTACCGTTTGTCTGGCCAATTCGGTCAAGTAATCTTCAGCATGTCTTTGCATAAGTGTGCTGCCTATTTGAAATTTATACGGCACGTTGAAAAGTTATGGGCCTGCAAATGAAAGTATGGCTGGCTGGGGTAATGCCGAAAACGTGCAATTACGCACGTTAAAGCACGCTACGTGGACTTTACTGCTGTAGAATAGCAACGCGAATTTTTAGTCACACAAATTACACTTTCAACCGACACAACGGCCTGTTACCTATAAGGAATTATTTACCTGGCATTTTCTTATTATATCACACAATTATAACTTCCAGTGTGCACCAAGCGTCCTCAAGCTCTTAAAACGCGTGTCAGCTTTGATAAATTCTGGATAAGGTTTGAGATAAAGTGGCAAAACATCAATGTCGGCATTCCCCGTAGATCATTTCTCCCATTTTCGGCTTTCCCCGCAGTCCGGGGCAACGCCGAAAAAAATCACTTCTTTGATATTTTTAGTTTGTGCGCTTAACGGTATGCGAATTCATCAAATGCGCCTGGTATGTTTGAAAGGCAAAAGACTGGCCTCTCGAATGACGCCAACAAGAATAGCTTATGTTGTCTACCTTGCGTGCTACGGGCGTCAGAAAAAAGTATTCGGCGTTCCCCCAACTTCCCCTATATTGATATAACACTGAACACGAGCACAAAATGAAAACAATCACATAAGTCATAACGTAACGTGTCGCGTAGCATTATCACATACCCATTATCTAATGTGATAACAGACAAGATGAAAACATAAAAACGTTGGAGATCATGGTTTGCATTGCTATGAGGTGATATGTTTCTTTTACACTACCTATACGAGTTGCATATTTTATCGTTCTAAAACATGGTTGTATGACAGATAAATCTTTAATTACACCATACGGGCAACCAGCCTCTACAATTTTTGGTGTAAATATCTCAGAAAAAAATATACCTGACCGGCATACATCAACATATCGCTTCAGAAAAATATGTAACATGCTTCTTCGTCACACCGGCAACAAAGACCTCGGTAAAATCACTGGAACTGCTGAGAATCGAACCCACGCTCTGTCGAACATTTTGTCCTTCACTCCTCAGTTGCTCGCTCAGTCGTCCTCCGGCGTGACGGGCTCGGCGAATCGAGTCATCTCCTTGGCGTGCTCCTCGACGGCTCTCCAGGCCTCCTCGCTCCTGGCGGAACCAATGAGAACGTGGCGACCGTGAGCAGTTGGGTGGTCACTCACCGAGGCATAGACATCAGATAGGCATAACGTGAGCGACATGAGCGGCTATTCACCGAGACACTGGCACTTATAGTCCGTCTCAGATGGTTTGTCATTCTAGTCTGCATCCCACCTTATGATCCATGTTCGTACTCTATAGTAACGAACGTACTCTATAGTAACGAACGATGCGATATTGCGGAACATGACGGTATAATTTAGCACGATAAGCATCAAATACAGAAAATACATAGCAGCTGTGCGGTATAACAACGCCAATGCTTACCCGACCCCTGACTTGTGGACTGTTTTATCAGTGCTCCGCCCAGTGACCTAACCAAATGACCTCTGACCTGGAGGGCAGCCGGGTGACATAGCCGGTCATCTGGGCGACCTTGGGGTCAGCCACGGTCAGACAGGTCAGGCATCCGTCCACCGTCCCCAGTACGATAGTGGTGCCGTCATCCGAGCTGTCTATGGCCGTCAGCTCGGCCGAGACACGGTAGTTGGATACCATCTGACCGTCAGCCATCCTGAGAAAGGGAGAACAGACATGGTTTGGTCATCAGAAGTCGTGCGATCAGGCACTGCCACACATCTACAGCTATCACGTCCAATAGCACCAGTCACCAAAACACCCAGTGTTATCCGTGCAAGCAAGATCCGATCGTTTATTACTAAATTCATTACCGATCAGTTTTTTGCTGTTGTTATTTTAGCATTCGAGCCCATGTTAACTATTTTACGTATCTTGAAAAAACGGATTTTTTAAAGAAGTCTTCGAGTAACTACCGCCACACTCCGGCAACCTTTCCGTCTCGCCAGTCTCTGACCTGAAGACGCGGATGGTCTTGCTGCCGCTGTGGTAGTAGAGCACGTAGCGATCCGTCTTGGTGAAGCGGGTGATGACGCTGAACACGCCCTCGGCCACGCGCGGGATCAGCGTCCGCACACTGGTACCGTGACGCAGCTCAATCACCTCGAGAGGAGACGGAGGGTCAGAGGGGTCAGAGACGAGGAGGAAAGGTCACCGAGGTCAAAGACGGACCGATGGAAGGTCATTGGGGTTAGAGACTGAGGGTTACCGGGGTAAGAGATGGGAGATAATCGGGGTTATAGAGACGGAATGGAAGGGCATCGAGGTCAGAGGCGTGAGTGAAGGTCCTCGGGGTCAGAGACGGGATGGAAGGTCACCGGTGCCAGAGACGGGAGGTCATTGGGGTCAGAAATGGGATGGAAGGTCATTGAGGTCAGAGAAGGCTATCGGCGCCAGAGACGACGTGGTAAGTCGTTCGGAGGTAAAGGATGATACGGTGCGTCATCGAGGTCATCATCAAGGTTTAACCCTATTCCTGGCGGGCTCCGCCGGGACAAGAAACTGGCGGGGGGGCCGATTCGGCCCCCCCCTGAGATCTCGAGAACGAAGCAGGATAGCGACAAACGGTAAACGGTATCGGATACGCACGGTCAAGATCTACAATTTTTACTAAGGTCATTTTCAGGTCAGGTCAAAGATGACGTCACAGGGGTCGAAAAAGTCAAAATGGCGGCGCTAGATATGGAGAGTTTTTCTCGAATAACTTTCGAATTAGTCAAGATAGGAACAAACTAAGGGCATCATCGTGATCCTCTCGTCAATCCGCATCGAATGATATATATGTTGACCTCGCAAGGTCAAGGTCAAAGGTTGACCTCAGGTCACGTGACCTCGAGGTTATCATGTATATCATTCGATGCGTCTTGACGAGCTGAACACAATGAGACCATCCACGCGTCTGTATCTTGTTCCTGTACGGAGTTATTGGCCAAAAACCTTTGGTGACCTTTGATGACGTCACATGACCTCACAGCTGCCCAACAGCAAAACAGACCTCAAGGTAGTGAAGGTTGATCGTATATGAAGTCATGTATGGTATATGGGGCCATTCCGACCCGTTTTAGTGGTAAAAACAGGGAGTTGATTTTTCCCCATTGACTTATAATGGGGAGGTCGCGAAACTGACCTGACCTTAGGTCACCGATAGCAAAATTCCGAGATAAACAAATTGCACATACTGGTACCCTAACTATAGCCTGAAGAGAAGAAATTGATCGGTCAAAAACTCTAGCTCTGGCGTGATTGCAAACTTTTCTGAGGTAGGGTCACCAAACCGCCTCTGGTGACCTGACCTGAGGTCAGATCAACTCAAAATTTTCAGACATGTTGCGTAGAAGCCTTTTAGGAAAAGTCAGAAAATTTGAGCTTCCTAGCTCAACGCGTTTGGGAGAAATAACCAAAAAACCTCAGGGGGGGGGGGCTCCTGAGGCCCCCCCCGCCAGGAATAGGGTTAACACACAAGACTATTCAAACTAGAGATGTCAATCGGATACCAACTTTTTGGTATACCGATACCAAACCGATACCAACTTGGTATTTGGTATTTCAATCCTAGTGTGTTCGGTATTTTGTTAGTGCATATCACGAACGCTCACTAATGTATAAGAGGCTAAAAGGTGGTAAAAAGTTGGTATTTCCCTCATGATCCCAAGTTGATTTCATTTCAGTATTTCCCCACGGTTCTGGTTGGTATTTGGTTTGGTATCGGTATTCCGATTTTCCGTAATTGACATCACTATTCAAACGTTGACTGTCAAAAGAAGGTCAGTGGTGACGTCACGTCGAGAAATTGACTGTCATCATGTAATGCGTTAGACAACACATGCTGAAAGTCTGAATGCTGATAAGTTATTTCTGAGAAGTTTGCACAATGCACAGGGAACTTATTCGCAGACAAAACACCGAGCTATGTCAAAGGGTTTGCTTTCGACAAAGCCAGACATTTCCTTCCTTTGAAAGCAAAGCAATGTCCCGCAAACATAATGTAATTCTCTTTCAGCATATGCTATAAAACCATTAACTAACTTACTAGCCTATTTCCTTTCAGCGCAAGACGCGTAACTGCGTAAAACGCAGCTCAACCAGTGTGCCAGCATCGGGCAACATGTTATACAGCAGCCAGCCAGTTGATCCCAAAAACCAGGTAAGCTTTCAGCCCCACCAGCTCGTCTCAATTCCTCAGACGTCCAACTGACCTCGAGCCCTCCGCGGGCCGGTGCGAACAGGCCGTACTTGCCGTCGCGTGTGACGGACCCGTTCCAGCGCGGCACCGAGCGCAGGAACCGCCGGGTGCGCACGTCCAAAATGTTCCCCTTGTCGGAGTCGATCAGCGCCACCTGAGACGGCTTGTTTGGCATCACCACCTGCAGGGACGGGGTCAGGTCAGAGGTCAGGATCAGAGGTCTACCATCAAAATTAGGTCAGGAAGAACAGTCCGGAACGAGCTGTCAGGGACGGAAACTTGCAAGGGTTATCTGGAAGGAACTTAACAAAATGAAGAAACTATAGGGAACACTCGACGGAATAGACGTAGGTAAAAGAGTAGCGTATTTCAGTGATCAGTGATTGGTGGTAGATTCAGTGAACGAAGATTTCACGGCATGAGCTTCAACTCATGATTGCCACGAAAATCCAACAATCCAATCGCATGTGGACGTGAAGTTTACTGAATAGAATATACGCATGCGTTCCAATCTATTTAGGTCACTCGTATTGCGCAACAGTCACGAAATATATGCATCAGGAATCTACGAACTTTGCAACTTTAATTGATAACGTTTCTACGCAGGCCACTACCGAAACTCACAATCTGATGGAAGTCCTTGTAATTGGCGTACTTGAGTACGATCTTGTTGATGAGGGTCCCGGAGGTGGCATTGTAGACGAACAGAGTGTCTTTGAGAGCCTCGTTCCCGGCTAGTACTAGGTGGGTGTTGTCGGAGGTGACCACGACGTTCCTCAGGAGCCGGATCGGGTACTCGACCCGGTACAGTCGCTCTCCGTCTGGTATCGTACGCGCCTGTACCTGAGGGAGTGGCGGCATTACGGTGGTCACCGGTCGCTCGATTTTTGCAATAACGTTTTTGTTCACGTATTCTTTTCGTTCAGTGCTGCGCTCTTGTAAGAACAGCTAATTGTTCAGTTAATTTAAATCCAACTCTACAATGAGTAACTCCATCGCTCTGAGCCTGCTTGTGATTTTTGTTTATTATTTTCTTTTTACTTCCGATCACTTACCACACACTTGTTCTCTCCGATCGCGCCTGACTTGCAGACGGTGATGAACTTGGTGTCGTGATCGAACAGAGTCAGCTGCTTGACGTTCTTCTCCTCCGTGCGGAACAGAACCTCGGCCGTGGCCACGTCCCAGATCAGCAGGTTTCCCGACTCCGTGTTGACGATATAGCTGAAACATATCGAATTCGAGTACCCGTTATTTTTGTTTGCGTCTGGGAGGACAAGTGACCAGGAATGACATACAGATGTAGAGACCGACACCAAGACCGGTCTTTGTTGTAATGACAAGTCGTCCGGCCATGGCAAACTAGAATTAATAGGCATTAGCAGTCGATGTGACAAACGAAAGTGTAGCCGAATGCCCTATATCGCTTGGCCTTAAAAGCTGTTGAGATTATCTGAGCACACATCGTACGCCGGCCAGTCCACCGGCTCCCATTCGATGACCCTCTGTCCCTGCGCGCCGCCTGACTGACCTGCCGTCTTTGGTGACCTCTGCGTGTGTGACGATGGCCCCCAGAGGCTGGTCGGCCAGCCGGTTGAGGAGCTTTCCCAGCTTCAGGTGCCAGATGCCCACACAGCTGCGGGCTACTGTCACAGCAATGTCCCGCTTCTGTCGAACAAATGCCGAACATAAATTACAAAGTTACACATTACGCAATAACATATACACGTAGGTATACTTGTCCTTGCCCCTGAAACATGTTTTTCTTTGATGCTCAATTTTATTCGGTAATGTAAACGCAATTCTTTAGTGTTCCGATTAAGGAATTTTCAATCAGATGACGCATGCTGACAGTTGACATTATTCTACAGACCATAGTGCCCTGGAACACGAGCAAAACATCGTAAACGGTTAAAACCTTTGAGATTACGCGTCTGGAAAAATACCCTCCCCGCACATCAAACGATCAGGTACGATCTGCCTAAATGCATCGGGGCAGTAATCCAGTACGGTTTCCGGTAGCGCAGCTGCTCAACTCACAACGGATCAATGGGAATGGAGTCCGTGCAGCGTTCCCATCCGGCCGGCCCCATGGGTATTATTGGTGACAACTGACAGCTGACACGCCAAAACCACGGGCTGATAATGTTCACCGAGAGCATAAAATGGTACCCGGCCGACAGGCCGACGAAATAAATAGCACGGTCTGGGATCGGTATCTGGTCATGCTGTTGGGACTATGGGCCAGAATACGAGAGAAGATGGTGATGGCAATTCAGATATACAACATTTACAACTGAGATTTCATGCAACCGACCCATCGCCGTCGCTAAACGGAGGCTGAGAGATCAGAAGTTATTTGTGACAGGGCCAGGGACAGAACGTCACTCTGAGAAAGTTTAGACGTGTTCACTGGAAAAAAGTCCGAGGGTCAGACACAACAGGACTCAGGACAGCTCGGTCGTTGGAACTGCCCTGAACCCGAGTCGCACCGACAGCCAGGAGTCGAGTCAGGATAGAGGACAGTTTTGAACTATGAACAGGATACAGACCGGTAAGATGCCTGGGAGAGGTTGTTACTTGTTAGTCTCGGGGCTCAGGACAATCCAGTATCTAACTACAGGCAGAAAAACCGGTACTTAATACCTGGGGGAGGCTGATGGCCGGGACTAGGGACGGGCTAGTATCTAATGATATGATTGAACACAGACCGGTTTATACCTGAGAGAGGCTGATGGCGTCCACCTGCATCTCGTGCCGGTCGATGTGGTACACCTGCTCGAAGATGTTGTTGATGTTCCACACCTTCACCGTGCGGTCCAGAGAGGACGTGATGACCTAGATGACGTCAGCAAGGTCACCAGACATACCCCGAGTCAGCTATGCTGATAAATGTGTTCTACTTCAAAATACATAAATTATTGGTAGCCAGCAATACTGTCCGTTCCAAGAAACGATATTGTTTTATGGTCATGCATTAGTCGTTTGTACATGTTTACGCTGGCAGTTGACGTTTTATTTTGTTTAGATAACGGTTGGTTTGGAATCGCAAGCTGTAGATCAATGAAATAAAACGTCAACTACGCTCCAAATCACTACGAGAGCTCCGCTCTGAAGCTTCGAGCAGAGAAAAGCTGATCAGCGATTTAACATTGTCAGCACCAGAAAGGTCAGGATATGTTACTGGTACGATGAACTTATGAGCATCCTGAATCTCCACTTTTTATGTCTGTTTACTCGACCGGCTTTCGAGAAGATGCATTAGAAGGCACGCAACTTCTTTCCTGCAATATTGGAAAAGCCATACAAAGCCGTTTTTACGACGGGCTAGCTGGCGAATGCACCTAATTTGACCAAATTTGTACCATTTTTTACAGCAAATATCTTTAAATTATGAATTCATTTAAGTGTTTTAGTCGATTATTCTGTCTAATGGTATGACAATGAAGGCATATAAGCAATAAGCGCAACCCTAGCTAATAGCAACGAAGAAACACACTGAACCTATTTTGACCAAATCTGCACCAAATCTGCACCAAATGTGTACCAAATGTGTACCAGATGGCCGTCGTGAAAACGGCTAAGGTGTTCTTTTTACTGAACCCTATCTACCAGCTCTATTCCGAGTAAGACATCCACTGAAACCCCTTCTACCATGTCTCGAGCCTAACCAACTCGACTTTGAAGATCCTAGACTCGATCTCCAGCACGACTAACCGAGTTCCAGGTGCCCACTGTCAGCGAGGTGGTGTGAATGATGCGGCTTACGACTAACCGAGTTCCAGGTGCCCACTGTCAGCGAGGTGGTATGGATGATGCGGCCAACGACTAACCGAGTTCCAGGTGCCCACTGTCAGCGAGGTGGTGTGAATGATGCGGCCAACGACTAACCGAGTTCCAGGTGCCCACTGTCAGCGAGGTGGTGTGAATGATGCGGCCAACGACTAACCGAGTTCCAGGTGCCCACTGTCAGCGAGGTGGTGTGAATCATGCGGCCAACGACTAACCGAGTTCCAGGTGCCCACTGTCAGCGAGGTGGTGTGAATGATGCGGCCAAAGTGGGCGTCCAGCACCTTCAGCAGCTTACAGTTGCGCAGACTCCACACGTACAGACTCTTTCTGAAACAGATATTTGATCAAGATCAGTAATTTCATAACACTAGAGCCGTTTACAATTTTACATACTATCTAATACGTTCAACCCTGCCGGCCTTTATTTGAAACGACTGCGCCTCTCGTTTTCATCCTCTACAAATTGACTTTAAATACGTCGATCACGAATTTCCCAGCGGTAAAATTTCAGCCGAAGTCTGAAAATTGGAAATGATAGATGAGGGCAGCCAAGCTACCTTTTCATCGCTTGCTGTTTTATCCCATTCAATACAATCGGGATATTAAGCAAAATTACTAAATTGTGCCGCATTATCTGCCTGACTTTTAGAGGTTTTCTAGGCTGATGCAAAATACGCCGATTGAAGCCAGTCACAGTAAACGCATTATCATCCCCCAAAAAACACTTATCATATCATCTGTTCATCATTACACTATCACATTAATCACATCACTCCATAACATTAGCCGCATTACCCACCTGACACCTGCCACAGCGTAGTCCTTCTCCAGACTCAACACACATGAGTTGGACTGCATTGGCCGGGAGCTGACATTCCTGATACCATGTGGCAGGTACAGCGACACACACGGGCGCTTCTTGCCCTCAGACACCTCGGTTGTCAGGTTCCAGACCTGGCGAAAGTAGGCATGTTATATCGTTTATTTCTCAGCTGAAGGTATTCCGAGGTGATTTACGAAAATTACGAAACAGTTTACACTTGCTATTTTCATAGGATTGAGCGAAAATGAAGGAACTCATTTGTAACGATGCGTCACTTAAAATGAAGCTCAGCAAACGGGCGTGCGTGTCAACAGCCGGATTTCCAATTAAGAATTTCGAAGCAATGTAATATATCCACATATGCATTCTAGTTTCAGCGAATGCTGCGTTTAATGAGAATGGAATTCAAAGAAAGACTAAGAATAGTTAAAGGAGCCACAGACACTAATGTAGGCGTTGACCCATCATACTCGGAGGTCTAAATGTTGAAGCGCCGAGTACGTACACGGTTCACCGAGTGGTGGAGCCCATAGCGTCCCCTCTGTGCACTGTGCAGTCTGCGGATGCTGTGCGCCCTAACCCAAGACCAAGAGGTCACCAAGAAGAACAGGACCACTCACCTGGAACCCCTGCATGAATGTGCCGATCAGGTAGCTGGCCTGATCATCCAGCACGAGCTGCAGCAGGGGCTGGCGGTTCTCCAGCAGCTCTATCTCAGAGTACCGCAGTCGGCCGCGGCTGAGTATCGATACAGTCCTGTCCAGCTCCCCACCTGTACAGGTACACACCCGCTCCCGACCCGGCAGTGCCGCTACCAGGACACTGGAGAGAGAGAGAGAGAGAGAGAGAGAGAGAGAGAGAGAGAGAGAGAGAGAGAGAGAGAGAGAGAGAGAGAGAGAGAGAGAGAGAGAGAGAGAGAGAGAGAGAGAGAGAGAGAGAGAGAGAGAGAGAGAGAGAGAGAGAGAGAGAGAGAGAGAGAGAGAGAGAGAGAGAGAGAGAGAGAGAGAGAGAGAGAGAGAGAGAGAGAGAGAGAGAGAGAGAGAGAGAGAGAGAGAGAGAGAGAGAGAGAGAGAGAGAGAGAGAGAGAGAGAGAGAGAGAGAGAGAGAGAGAGAGAGAGAGAGAGAGAGAGAGAGAGAGAGAGAGAGAGAGAGAGAGAGAGAGAGAGAGAGAGAGAGAGAGAGAGAGAGAGAGAGAGAGAGAGAGAGAGAGAGAGAGAGAGAGAGAGAGAGAGAGAGAGAGAGAGAGAGAGAGAGAGAGAGAGAGAGAGAGAGAGAGAGAGAGAGAGAGAGAGAGAGAGAGAGAGAGAGAGAGAGAGAGAGAGAGAGAGAGAGAGAGAGAGAGAGAGAGAGAGAGAGAGAGAGAGAGAGAGAGAGAGAGAGAGAGAGAGAGAGAGAGAGAGAGAGAGAGAGAGAGAGAGAGAGAGAGAGAGAGAGAGAGAGAGAGAGAGAGAGAGAGAGAGAGAGAGAGAGAGAGAGAGAGAGAGAGAGAGAGAGAGAGAGAGAGAGAGAGAGAGAGAGAGAGAGAGAGAGAGAGAGAGAGAGAGAGAGAGAGAGAGAGAGAGAGAGAGAGAGAGAGAGAGAGAGAGAGAGAGAGAGAGAGAGAGAGAGAGAGAGAGAGAGAGAGAGAGAGAGAGAGAGAGAGAGAGAGAGAGAGTCAGAGAGAAAGAAAGAGGGAGAGAGAGGGAGGGAGGGACGGGTCACAACGCGCTTCTGCTTCTCGCGTCAGCTACTGTTACGCACCAAAACTACTTGTGGGATATTCGGTAATGTCATGCGACTACAAAGTAGGTAAGTACCTAAATGCCGATCTTTTGATATCTGTGTTTGAGCGAGCGATGCTGTAGGTAAACTGAGAGCAGAGTGGTGCTCTACGGGTTCGCAGAGTTAACTAAATACGTTACGCCATTGAAGAACATGAATGGAAGGACGGCACTCAATAATCTCCAGAAAGGGCCTAACCCGCCTTCCCCCAATTCCCCAAGCTCGTTCACACGAGTAGGCGACTCCTTCTCCCACTCACTTGCTGAACTTGAGCGGTTCCAGTTCCTTTCCATCGAGTATCGAGCTCAGACACATGTAGTGAGTTGTGTCAGAGTCCGACTCGTCAGAGTCACGGTAGATGAACGAGTACTCGCTACTTGAGACGAAATCCATCGCTAGAAAACAAGGACATGGGTAAATGCATAGTTCACACAACGATCGCAAACTATTATAAAAATGTGTTATACACAACGGATAAGAAATAATATAAAATGGAAAAATTAAAAGACGGATGCGAGCAATAATTGGACGCCCATATTTGGTTCCATTTATCGCCGGAACCCTAGTCTGAATAAGAGCGTACTTACTTACGTATGGCATGACAATGCCCCACGAACCGGCTATAGGTGAAATTTATCAGCCGTATTAATTCCTTATGAGTTGAAACGTTTTAGCCACACGATTGCATGTAGTGTCAACTAACGTTAATCCATAGACCTCTATATACCTAGGTATGTAGAGGTCTATGGTTAATCAAATATAATCACCCACCTATGACCTGCTGCCCGGAGGTGTCACCCACCTATGACCTGCTGCCCGGAGGTGTTGTCCCACCGCTCGAGCTCCTGCCCGCGCAGGTCGAACAGCGTGGCGCCCGGCTGACTGTAGATGACCAGCCGGTTATTGGAGAGCTGCGTGCCGACGATGTCGTACTCCGGGTACGGATTCTCTACCACCACGTACTCAGAGGTCATCAGGTTGATGGCCACAGTCTGACCGAGAAGACGTACAACGGTCAGAGAGGGTAGTTAGTGGTCACCTGGTGAAGGTCAGGCAGCAACTCTAGTCAAGAAGATTAGTAGTCTGTCGGTAACCGGCAGGATGAAAGGAATGTCTAGTCGTGAAATTAACTAATGCCGCAAAAGAATAAGACCTGTGTGACCAATCTGAGAACAACAAACAGCTACAGTCAATATTGGGTTTCGTTCTCACATGTTACAGGAATACTGATCAAGCAAAAAAAAAAAAAAAACATTAGTTCAACGATTGCAAAAGGGCACTTGTAGCCTGTAGGTACCCACTCCATTACTTCAATGACATGCATTGTACATCAGCATAGATAGCATAGACATATACAACTGAATAGAGAACCGCGTTACGTAGAACCAGTCTGCAGATATACCGTTACGCCCTTACGCATCACCGATTCTAACTTCGGATAACAAAGTCGCGGTATTCTGTCCAACACAGGCGATTCTCTGCAACCCTATCCGAATACACAGTAGCTGCATATCCCGGTATACAATGCATCGTGGGTACTGTATATTCTATATGCCGGATCTTCTGTAATATTTACTTCGGGCCCGCCGGGGGTGTCCAATGTGCACATTCATCCCACGCATCCAGCGCCTCTTTTATATAAGCTGCCGGATCGAGAACCAGACTATAAGATTTTATTACTCCGCTATGACGTAGATTATGCTGCTATATTGAGCAGCGCTTCAGCAGCCAACACAAATAAAAGGATGTTTCCACTTAGTGGACAGACTCTCTCCCCCCAATAGCCGTTCGCAAGATGAGATTTTGATCCGCGTCGTGCAGAAGTTCCACGCATACCTACCAAACTACAAAGAGGAGTGCCCGGATGGGCGAGGTCAACGCATTACTCTTGTAACTCCACTCCGAATGGATATGAGTGGGTGGCTGTTGGCCCGGGTCCCTGACTAGCATGTGCTGCGTGTGACACCCCACCTGATTGTTGCTGCTGTGTGCCGACGCGTATTTGTTGTCGGGGCTTAGCTGGAGGCCCTGCATGATCCCCTCAATGCGCGGGTTGGTCTCGCGGGTCAGGTCACTGGTGCTCAGGTCCCAAGTGACGAACTTGTTGCTGACGGAGACGATGTAGCGCAGGTCGGCCGTCAGCCGGAATCCAAACACCGCGAACTGGTGCCCCTCCAGGGAGTACTGCCGCCGGCGGGAGGCACACATGGGTCACCATCCCTCACATATTGGGTAAATGGACAGCTCATAAGACATTTTTGGTTTATTTGGGCGAATAAAAGGTTGTTGATAAAGTATTCAACCACGCTGTTCCCGATACGAAAAGTCACAATGTTAGGGCGTCGGCCGTATCTCATTTTTATTATGTCACACCTCACGGTATGAAACATGTCACAATGCCAGTCATGTCACGATGCCACGTTGCCAACCCAATCGTGTCATACTCATCGTGTCACGGAACCAGCTATACCACGGTGTCACTGTGTCACTCTGTCACGGTTTCACACCATGGCCATTGGCCAAGCGTGTCTCGTGCCACCCACCTTGAGCGGTCCACCTGGCGTGTGCAGGCAGTGGTAGGTGGGCAGCAGAGCGCAGTGCTGCGGGCCCTGCTCGTCACACTGGTCCAGTAGGGTGCGCACGTTGGCGTTGGCCGGCCTCTCGGGCAGTAGCCGCCCCACCAGCTGACAGGCGAGCATGTCCGGGTACAGGGACAGGATGGCGCCGCCCAGTCGCAGCGCGTCCGCGACCAGCATCATTTCCCTGTGGCCGCCGGTGGGTCAGAAACGGGGTGAGTCCAGGGGCGGAGAGAGTCAGGGAGACGAGAGGCAGCGCGTCAGCGACCAGCATCATCTCCTTGTGGCCAAGGGTGGGTCAGAAACGGAGACAGGAGACAGGAGCGATAGCTGAGACAGCCATGGAGACATGGGACAGGAGTGATAGCAGAGACGGTCACAGAGACGGGAGGTAGGGAAAGAGACAGCTGTGGGTTCAGGCCGTGGCCGCCGAGACGGTCACAGATGCAAAGGTGGTGGGTCAGTCATGGTAGCAGTGTGAGTGCGAAATGGAAACAGCCGATTTACTTCCTTTTTTTCATTGGCGGTCGAAAGGAAATGAGGCATGATTGCCCTCTCCCTATTCAATAACCTAATCCTAAGATAACGCGTGCTGCGCTGCATTGGAAAAAATTGACATAACTACGACCAATAATTTTGGTGGTCGCCCTCTCTCCTCAGGTCCGTGTGAGTTCGCCAATTAATACTCGTATCTAATAAGTACTCCACATGTGATATCATCTGTTGGAAAGGCTAGAGTATCCTGAGAATGTACAGGTCCGGAGGAGCGTTTTATGGTGCACAAAGGTCAGTTCAAATGATCTGATTATTTTTTAAGTGTCACATTCCGAGACCTACAACGCAGCAGTTTCGATCAAAGGGCTAGGAATCAAAACTAAGTGAACGACAAAGTTCGATCGCAAAATACCAGACATCCTTGCTCATATTTCATTACAAAAGTCTTAACTCGATTGGACGTAACCTGGGTCCACAGTAAAGCAGTCCATTCTGTACAGGACAATTAAATAAGCATTATTTATAGAATACACTGCTGATATTGTGTTACAACTTTGATCTCAGCTGGCCTTTGAATATTGGCTGTTGAAAATTGTAAACGAGATGTGGCATCCAATTTGGTGTTGATATGCCAGAGTCACGTGACGAGGGACAGAATGCTAACGCCTCTTATGTGCTTTTTAACCCGAGTCGTGACTGGCGACCGATCGTTTGATGTGTGGAACTGGGATCATACACCGATTCATGGCATCATGGTGTCTTCGACACGAGGACCGGCCCATGGCCTTTGAAACTCAGGTCGCTCCGCCACAACTCGGGTAAGTAAGTCACTTGGACACGCGACGGTTCTGATTTGCTTCTACATCTTAGTTGTGTGCGTGTTAGAAGCCGCCAGGGACGGCTAGGCAATAAACATGCTGTTCCGCAACACTCCGCTGCTCTGCGGAACAGCCTACCTTCCAGGGAAAGACGCTAGTGGCATCTAGCGGCTGAGATGAAAACGAAGACAGTTGCGCATTCTGTTCCTCTTCGTTCCGACGCAGTGAAAGTTTGATGAAAAGAATGCTAAACAAAGTCGAATAACAACGATTCGTGGCACGTATTACAGCTTTTTACAACGTCTTACAGCTAACCAAAGCGCATGCCAGTATACGAGTTAGCCAAGATTCAGAATACACTTGGTCCGCCGCTTAACTATCTTTTTCTACCCACTCGCGGTTTAATATATAATAACATCGTAACAACCAACATCGCATTTAAGCGTCATGTCATACGGAGTTATTTCAACAACTGAAAATTTGCATTGCTGCAATCGTTTTACAACGAATGCATTCATAACCTGTCGCTTAACTCATTTTTTCAGATCTTTTGTACCAAAATCAATGCATTAATGATAATACTTTCAATCAAATGGTACCTTTTTTCTATAAAAGTGACACATATTATTGCAATACTATTAAGAGTTGTGAATAGCTACGAGTAAAAGCACACCTTCCACAAACCATGGATCCTACTTCATACTTTTTCATGCTATGTGCTTACCTTTTCCTTCGGTAGATGTCCTCTCTGCAGCAGCGGCCATGGTTTAAGCACATTCGGTGTGAGACAAGTTAAAAGACAAATGCCTTTAACACGAAGCATGCCACGGTGATCCATTGCTTGTTCGACTTTTATGGCAAAGAGGCACAAAGTGCGGCAAAATTGGCAGGAACAGTTTATAATAGTAAATCTTGGTACTAAATCCAATAAACATGGGCATGGCGAACCAATTCTATCGCTCAGTGTGCCTCTTTGCATTGTTATTTGATGCGTTTATTTATATTCTTAATAACACATGCCCATTATGTCAATGTAACACTTCGACGTCTACGATAAAAACTGCCGAGCCCGGTATACATAGACACAAAAACGAGCACGGATTACGGAACAATACGAATGTTGCGTAAAACACACTCATGCATTCCAAAATGTATCCTCATTATACCGAGCGAGCACTTTTTATTTATAGGTATTATATTTATAATAAGTCTTATTAATCAATTTTGGTACCATGCAGTCATGAATTTAATACAAAAATTTAAATTAACATCTACACAAAATCACCTAGCTTTCATCATGACAAATTACGAAACACAACTCTACGGAAAAGCAATGGCATTTCGACACAAGCTTTGTTCCGATCGACCCGTTTCTTCTTCGCTCACCTATCCAGTGAGTTTTATTTATTATTACTGGGTAGCTGCCACTGCAGTCCCAGCGCCGGGAAGCTTCCGCTTCCGTCCGCTGGGCGTCGCCCCGGTCGCCGACTGCTCACCTAGAGGCCTCACGATCGTGAACATTGTTGCAGGCGTCCTCGAAATCGCTGAGCACCGCTTGCAGCGGGCACGAGGACATCTTGGCGTGCAGCCACTCGTAATTGAACAGAACGTGCTCGTACAGGCCGGCGAACCGGCGAGATCGCACCAGATGGAACGGCAGCTCACCAAACTGGAAAATAAACAACTATATTTAGTCTGAGCTGTCTTTTGTCACGCATAAATAACGCCACTTCGTTTTACCCAGAATGTTGTATTATGATGATGTGCTATCTTATTTTTAAGGGGATGAGAGAACAGGGAGGATATTGGGATTAGTCGACCACCAATCATGGAAGGTAAGGTACGTCACGCTGTCACTCTTAACCCGCGCACCGACGGGGGTCTGCGCCAACTTAGTACCGACGGGGGGGGGGGGCGGATGACCGCCCCCCCCCTGAGATCTCGAGAACGAAGCAAGATAGCGACAAGCGGTAAACGGCATCGGATACGCACGGACAAGGTCTACAATTTTTACTAAGGTCATTTTCAGGTCAGGTCAAAGATGACGTCACAGGGGTCGAAAAAGTCAAAATGGCGGCGCTAGATATGGAGAGGGTTTTTCTCGAATAACTTTCGAAGTAGTCAAGATAGGAACAAACTAAGGGCATCATCGTGATCCTCTCGTCAATCCGCATCGAGTGATATATATGTTGACCTCGAAAGGTCAAGGTCAAAGGTTGACCTCAGGTCACGTGACCTCGAGGTCATCATGTATATCATTCGATGCGTCTTGACGAGCTGAACACAATGAGACCATCCGCGCGGCTGTATCTTGTTCCTGTAAGGAGTTATTGGCAAAAAACCTTTGGTGACCTTTGATGACGTCACATGACCTTACAGCTGCCCAACAGCAAAACAGACCTCAAGGTAGTGAAGGTTGATCGTATGTGAAGTCATGTATGGTATATGGGGCCATTCCGACCCGTTTTAGTGGTAAAAACAGGGAGTTGATTTTTCCCCCATTGACTTATAATGGGGAGGTCGCGAAATTGACCTGACCTTAGGTCACCGACATCAAAATTCCGAGATATACAAATTGTAGCTACTAATGACCTAATAACATCCTGCGACTTTCAAAGGCCTCCGACATCTACTGTAGCTCTGGCACGGTGACAAAGTTGCAAAAAAGTGACTTGAGGTTGGGTCATTCAAAGTGACCTGGTGACCTGACCTTAAAAGTTAGGAGGTTCAAACTTGCACACCATGTGTAAAATTGATGAGAGAATAGTCATACCAAATTTCGCGGCGCTACGCGCCGCGGTTTTCCCGCTATCCGCGAAAAACCTCAGGGGGGGCGGATATCCGCCCCCCCCGTCGGTGCGCGGGTTAAACCACTTGGAACAGCGTGAGAGTTCCGGTTTGCACTTGGTCCACTAGATATGGTGTTTGGTCTAACTCGCTTGCTGACATCTACATACATCAGTTGCCAGGATGGAGATTGGAGGTTGATACACGGGTAGGGATTTCAAAAGAGGGTGGACCTGATCTTAGGAGACGGACAAAACATGATCAACACATCCTTACAATTCGATAAACACATCTTGTGTATCCCAGTCAGTCGATAATATTTTGCGAGAGACATACTTCTTTGCTCATACACAAGTGAAGATACAGCTATTTTTGTAATGATAAGGTGAATGAAATGAATGAAACACATGGGCGGCGCCACCGTGGGGTACGTGGGGTACTAGTACCCCACAGTCATTTGACTGTGGGGTACTGCATATACCCAGTACCCCACAGTCAGGAGCCCAGTCTGAACTTTTTCAAGACTTTTTAGTAGTCGTGCAATGGCCCTCTAAAACCGTTAAATAATGATGTACCAGGCTGATACTCTTCGTATGTTACGTCTTCTGTTCTCTCCTTCAGACCTGAAGACATATTAAAATTTAATCTTTTTTTAGAGTCGGTGACCTGTGGATTGATGACCTCAGAAATTAATGTAATATCATTGTGTGCTACCTGAATAATGGACCTAACAGCATGCAATGACCTGGTATATAGAAAAGCCAGATCAAATTATTAACATTTACTGATAAGAAATAGTTAAATAAAATCACCCTGGCCATACAAATTCCCTGCTTTCCATGCTCTCCTCAGGCAAGTGAGCTCCAACGTAATGTAAAAACACACAACACACATGTATACCTCTATACAAAGGCTCTTTGTCCGCGTTCTTAGAAAAATCTGGGCATTGCTTGCTTGGAATTCTTCAATCACTTATCGAATACCTTGCCAGGCTAAAAGGTAAAAACACCAAAGGCTTGTCGTGCCGACCCAACAGTTATCAAAGCCACCCGTGTCGTTTGTCCATTTGACGAAATAAGTGCACAGCGGGCACATTCAAGTCCATTGTAGTCCTCGAATGCAGCCATGCTTTGCCCTAGTCAATAGCCTATTCGAATGGTAATGATGCTATGATGGTACTATTTCTGCTAATTTTGATTTAATCATTACCGCACCGCTCGTAGACAGAACGAAATATGACAAAATGAATATATGTTCCTCATTGTTAAGTAGTTGCACTAAATAGCCTACTTTTGGTTAAAGAAAAAAAAAATCGGTTGAAGCTGGTTGGTTGATGGTCAGCAATCCTAAAACCATCAGGTAGGTAAATTTTGACTATGCCACAATCTATGACCTATGTGAGTAGCGATGATCATGAAAAGAAACACTTATGTATACTGCATATGCAATGGAAACTGCAATGACCCATCAGTAGTTGTTATGCATAGGCGAACTGTCGCACAATCACCTCTCTGATTGAGATGCGGTGCTGGCGTGCTTGTAAGATCTGTGTATTCACGTGATACGTTCCACCAGACATTACATCCTCGAGGTATGAAAAAGCCAACAGGAACGGATACATGCTGGATAAATAGTCCATCAAATGTGTAAGATGATTGCCCCACAGCATCCTGGTACTCTAGCTGAGCCACAATGCCGTCAGTGCCGGGAATTTCCTTTACGGGGATAATAATAATGTTTGCCGTCTGGCATGCAGATTTTGGCCGTTCAAAGCACCATAGATATTTACCTTCTACGTTTGATAGCCTATTGGCTCTACAAAATAGCATCGTAATACCTATAAGTATACCGATAGGTACTGACACAACGAGACAGTATCCGGATATATAAAACGGAATGGGGACAAAGGATCCCTTATGGCAGCTCTACAGCCAAAGTCGGATGCAAATCAGGGTATCCGATATACACAGGTGCACTTTTATGGGTCGAGCTGAGACAGCCAGGGACTGGACAGTGGACGGTGGAAGAATTTACTAAGCTTTAGCAAGGCTGGCATGAAATGCAAGGCTGGCAGCTTACGGCAAAGTAAATTCAAACTGAAAGGTTTCGTTTAGGTGTTTAAGTTGGTGAAATTAGTTGTTACCTTGCGGAGATTGTAGCGGGAGACGGTGCCATCTTTGGCCAGGAACGCCAGGGGCTGGAGGGGCACCTTGCGATCAGCCTCACCCTCCTTCTCCTTCAGGTTAAATCTGCAACAAAGCACAGGTCGCTCGACTACAGCTCACCAAAGGAATTGACGGAAGTTCGCTGCTCATTCTGTGTGTCGACGAGCAAAAAAAGCAATATGAGTATGATCACGGTACGGGACATACCCTTTAGGCCTGAAAAAGTTTTTGGTTTAGACACCTCCAAATTAGCGGCGTCTCTGGCAAACATCATTGCCACAAGTGAGAAGCGACTTAGGTTGTCTTGTGTGTTACAAAACTTTTGAACACCAAGTCTCGGGAAAAAAAGTTCCAACGTCGCAAACTATGGCTTGACAAGTTTGGAAAGACGGTGATTAAGTGGTGGGAGCATCCCCATCCGTTGGCAACAGCCGGTCAGAGAATCCTCAGCTCGTCGTGACGTGGCTCTTCCCGGACTCACAGCGGCGCAAACAACACGAGTGGGGCACTAGACTACTTATAGATGGCACTGAACAAGATGTCCTGCAGGTGGGCAGTCGGCGTGGGAGCTTCTACATCCGCCTTTAGGTGCACTGTGCGATGCTATAAGCCTTTTCAAAGACGACGATCCTGTCCACAGCAACGGGGTCGTTAAACGGCTGAATGAAAGGCTTTGGGATGTTGTAGCTCAGCAAATAATGGTAAGTGTCATTTGGGAAGACTGGTTTATTTGCTGAACCATAAGTGCGTCAGTACAGTCTGTCTTAACCCTATTAGTGGCAGGGGGGGGGGGTTGTTTTTATCCACCCCTCAGGTTTTTCGGGAATATCTCCGAAACCGCTGAAGCTACGATGCTGAAATTTTCTGACTTTTCCTAAAACTAAATTGGGCACATTCCCTGAAAATTTCAAGTTCATAACTTAACCAGGGGCGGCTCCAGAGCACTGGGAATTGGGGGTCCTATTCGTGAAGCGAGTCATTTGGGCGAAGATCACGATGCTGCACCAGTTTTACGAACATTGAATGAAAGGTATCATGTGATAACATATACAAAGTTATTGTGCATCCTCTTTTGACACGTTTTTGCTATAATAGGCGGATCCAGGCGTCCAAAAAGGGGGGTTATTTTTTACCTCCCAACATAGGTGCCCTGACACCGCCTATGCATGACCAATACAATTTTAGTCGTTCTCTCATAAGAAAATTGTAACATAACAAGACCATTGCCACCCTTTTTAGAAACAGTACCAACAAAAACCTTATTTACTATACTTTTTGTGTACCCCCAATCTCAATGATCTGTATCCGCCTATGATTTTTGAAAATGCATATTTTTAGGATCCATGTGAATTCCTGGTTCATTCTCTATCGATCGGCAAAAGTTGCGTTAAGATTGGTTCAGAAACCTGGCCGTGATAAACAGTCTAAAATGTATCTGCAATTTGCCCGTTTTTACCCCCCTCTACCCCCCTATTGACATTTTCTATTTTTTTTTTTTTTTAAATGTAGATCTCGTTGAGCCAAATCGAATGCCGTTTGAATTTTGAAAATCGGCCGGTTAGATCTCGAGATATCAAGGGGGGGTCGTAAACAGCCCCCCCTGCCACTAATATGGGGTAGCCAGGAGCCTGCCACTAATAGGGTTAAAAGTACCGCGCAAAGTGGCGGTGGATCCATCGAGCCTGACTGAGGAAGGGCCTGCTAAATTTGGGTCACCGAAGCAATGGACATCCTCGTCCATTCCCCAGCTCAATTGGTTCGGTGACTTTCAAATTAAAGCAGACCTTTCTCGGTCAGGCTTGATGGATCCACCGCCACTTTGCGCGGTACTTTTAAGACAGACTGTACGTATAATTACCAGCACTTACAAAAGCTTAAATGTATAATAACACTTTAAAAAATAACGTTGAAACAAAACAAAATAATGCATGGATTCTTACTGATACGGGTAACAACAATTTTCTGTAAGCCTTTTGTAAAGCCAGCGTTACATCCTGCATGAATAGATGCATCGATCATTTCTCAGAACAGCCTTCATATACGAAGGGATATACTGAACGTGAGAGAGACACAACATCCTCAGTTCGTGGAAAATAACACGCCTGGTAGCACACAATAAAGCTGTAAGTCGTGGTATTGGATAACATCTAAACTGAACGAGAGCGGTATGTGGGAGATTAAGTGAAACGATTGTGTCAAGAATATCACCGGAATTCAATTTTAAAGCTAAAGGAACAGGTAACCCTACGCCAAGCCGAAACTGTGACAGTTCATAATGATAACAACGGATAAAAACAGCGAATTCCCTGTTTCAGAAAGATTAGTTACGGGAGCGCCATTCCATTGATTGACTATTGAATATACTTGATTAGAATTTGTTTGTTTGTTTATTTGTTTATTGAATAATCACCAACGGGCTTGCACCCAATGACAGGTGAAGTCGGACAGTAAAATTATAAAAAAAAACATACACGAACACACGACACTGACACACCGGACAAAATACACACACTGACACACACTGACAAAATGATAGTTAGCCCCCCTCTCACCCCCCCCCCCACACACACACACGAGCTGACCTGTGTCGCTGTATCTCGGTGAAGCGGAACGGTTTCGGTGTGCCGCCTCCCCAGATGCCCAGGAAGTAGTCGGCAATGGACGAGTGAAAGTACTGACTCGAGTTCTGGTTGGTGAAGTAGCGCTTCTTGGCTGCTTCCTTGAACTGCCTGCGGATGCAGTAAATAACGCTCCAGTGGCTCTCCCGGATTGTAGACAATGCAACAACACAAGATAAAAATAACATAGGTGTGCACTTCCGTAAGAATATTAGGGTGGTGTTGTTATACCAAATCGAGCATTAACAAAAAAGTGACAAACTGTTGATTTGCTGATATTTCATCGTAGGCCTAGTACATCTAGTAGGTCGCATGTACGATCTAACGTAGTTTCATCAACATTCGCTGATTAAATGCAGGTTCGCGATCGGTCCGTATCTCATCGTCAGCGCCCGGCCCCGAAAACGTACGTTCATGAGCCTTCATAGTATCCGCAAACGTGTTTCCGTAACTACACAGATTCATGTCGAATGTTTGCTCCAGAGTTCAATATGGTAGGTGCTTACATACGGACAAAACAACTGAATATCAACTGAACAGTGCGTAGCGTCAGCATTTTCGTTAACGAAATGTACCACAAACTTTCCGTAACATTAACAAGACCTCTCAAACGTCCTCATTCACCGGAAACTTGTACAAAATACCGGAACTTAAGCAGATGAAAATGAAAACGACCTATTTTCACAGCACAACGCGACGAAACCGGAAATTCGCCCACGGAAAGTTTGCGTAAGTGTGGCCGTTTGTGGAGAATTCCATCAAAGTCTCGCAACCCGGCCGTGGTTGGGTACGACCGTACCCACCTGTGGTACCAGTTTAGTACGCTGACCCCGTCTGCCTCACGCTCCGATAGGTAGTTGGGCAAGTCGTTCCGGATCCGTGTCCAGAGTAGCGGTGGGATCCGCCGTACCGGAGGCAGATGGTACTGGTAAACGTCGTCCAGTACCTGTACACAAACAACGTGCGGTAACGTAAATGAAAGATGGATGTTGATATTACTGTTCATTGCTCTGGTAAAGATTAACAAAAAGACGTATATTGAGGCACAGAGCAGCATATTTTAATATTTTAATATGTTAAAATATGCTGCTCTGTGCCTCAATATACGTCTTTATGTTAAATGAAAGATTATTACGGAGCGAGCGAAGCGAGCGTAGTCTTTCCTTAGATTAACGGAAATTTCTGATATGAGCGGCCGGCCGGCCGGCCGTGGTCACGCTTTTGCGAGGCTTATATCTCAGCAACCACTTGACCGATTTACACGCGGTAATTTTTGTAGGGTAGCTTCATTCCTTCTACCAAGTATTGGACTATTCCTGATGCATGCGGGTGACCCCTTATGCACGTGTCACGTGCAAAACGAAGAGGTGTCCGTTTTGTAATTGTTGCAATATCTCGGTAACTACTTGGCCGATTGCGCTGAAAGTTGGCATGTAGGTAGGCACCCACTAGGCACTGCATATCCATCTGCCAGAGTTGGGGCGCTGCTGCACATGCGCACGTGCAGGGGTCGTTTCCAGATCTCGAGAACGGCTCGACCGATTGCGCTCAAATTTGGTACACAGTTAGGGACCGGTTAGTAGGGTGCCGTGCACAAGTCAGTTGGGACCCATCTTGCACGTGCGCACGTGCAGGGTGCCGCTTCCAGATCTCGAGAACGGCTGGGCCAATTGTGCCCAAATTTGGCACATCGCTAGAGACCGGTTAGTAGGGTGCCGTGCACAAGTCAGTTGGAGGTACCCCCTCGCAATTTCGCACGTGCAAGGCCCACCCTCTCGCTCGCTCCGTTAGTCGCCCCAAAAGGCGTTATACTGGTAGTTAGATGGAGATGACAGAGATGAGCAGTAATCGCCACGCAATTTGGAATGTGGATCGCTCTTAAATGTACAATACAATACAATACAATACAATACAATACAATACAATGCAATATAATACAATACAATAGTTGGACCATGTTAATTATTGTCTCAGGCATCGGGACTAAACATCCAATCAAAACGATTCATTCCATTCGAACTCTTCAAACAATTCTCAGATCGGTTACAGCGTTCAGAAATGAAGCAATACAAATGAAAACCTCGCCTGTCGGAAAGGCCGACGGCCGCGTTAGTGGAGATAAATTCAGCCGGCCCACTGATCTCAATAAACAATCAGAGCCTCCAGCCGTGTCACGGGGCACTGTTACTGCGTAATTATGCATGCAGCTAACCTAATTGGAGCGGACAGCCCTCTGAGAGAGACGCGGCCAAGCGGTATGATTTCTCTCTGAGCACGAAATTCGCCGCCCCGCCGCTGGCGGGTCAGCGTTGTTCTTGCGCCTTAGTGGTCAAAGGAATTGAAATGTCTCTGAGATATAAGACTACGGCTGTTGGGCATTTTACGATTTAAGAGCTAATTATCACAAAAGCACCGGTAACATTTGCTGTTAAGTTTATGGTTGAACCGATCGCAAAAAGGGCACACTGAACGTATCGGACAGAATATAAAGCACTCCTTAACTTTCGTAGTGCAGGTTTTATTCTTACTTCATCGCACGCTGAGTGCTCTTGATATGGTTGAAAACGATGTGTCAAGTTTACTGAACCTATGGAGAAACGGAATGTTTCGGGTGCTTTATAAGAGTACCGCAATTCAAGTGTCTTACTTTCATCCGTCTCATGGGCCCACATCCTCTGCTCTCGGACTTGTATCTATCTATATACTTCTGCCATCTGTACACGTATAAATAGTTCAGTTGACCTGAGTGTACTCAGTGTAACCACTGTGTGTTTATGTAACTTAGACGTCAAACATTATAATATTAGGAAACTCACCATAGGATAGCATTGCATTCCACCTACCACAAAAGCCGCTGAGTTTAGAGGCAATCTGGGTGCATTATCTCAGAACCATTGACCTGTAATCTGTTGGTGGTTACATAACGTGTTTACTGTTTAGATAGTTATTTGTTGCGAAGCATCTTGCCACTAACAACCTTTGAATGGCATAGCTCCTCGATCACAAAATCCTGAGAACAAGAAGAGAGGTACGGTTTCGTGGACAGAGAACGTAATGGCCGATTGAAAGGCTGAAAACACAACGTTTTAAATGAGACACACGAACAGGGAGCACGGGATTATTGGACAAGGAGCACCGCGGGAATCACCTGAGCAATAACAATCCCCTAACAGGTAACACGATCGCCAACTCCTCACACCTCTCTCTCGCTCCACCACTTGAGAACACTGCAGCGACATTGACATATGCGCGGGCCCCGGCAAAGTGTCATAACCTCGTCCCCATATTCATGTTTAACCCTCCTCAAGCGCAGTGTACACGTCAGTACCGCGCAGCTGAGGGAGTTCGGGGCAGTATCCACACAGTGGTGAGTGCACCTCAGCTCCAGGAGTCTTCAGACTGTGAGATCGATACGGAGCACCTGTAGCGCGAGGTGACTGTCCTCGGCGGGTGGGTAATTGTGTATGGGATAAATGTGTTATTATGGGTTAATGTGTGGAGAGACGGACTCGGCCTGACCGCACTCCCACCTGTCCTGAACAGACGGGTAGTCAGGTCGAGTTTATGCTCTATCTCGGTAGTGGCAGGGACATTTCAGGCGGTGGATCTAACTTCTAGCTCACAAGACGAAACTGGGAGGTTGTGCCGTTTGAATAGCCGATGACAAAACATGCACACTGCCTAGCTTTATTTCTAACCAATGTACTCTGACACGTTGACATTTACTTCGAATATATTTTCTGATTGCAATAATCTAATATGAACATTAAATTAATGTTTTCAGGAAACAGTTTTTTGCGAGCATTTCCGGCAAAAGAAAGGCCAAACATCAGGCTCATTTTCGTCGCATGGAGACGAAGGTCTACTGGACACAGCTATATGCTCTCACGCGCGCATTCGCTCCGATCGGTACTTACCTTGTCGTCCAGCGAGATGAGGTCTTCCAGCTCGGACTCCGACAGTCCCGATTTGGAGGCCGTGATGTAGGCCAGGGCGTGTGAGACCAGCAGCTTGCCGTGCTGTCGATCGCCAGTGGTGTGCGTCAGAGGGTCGGCCACGTGCACACGGTGGGTAGCTAACGTGCTTAGGTAGTCTACAGGGAGTAAGTGGTTTTTATCTATTGAAAATATTGAATCTAATGTATTTTTTGCAACTATATTTCAACAAAAAATTCAGAGCAACGAATAATACGTTTCAGCATCGTCTTGATTGCTATAAGGTCTAATTACCTTCGGCTTTGTATACCCTGTAAGCAAACGGTACACAGACGTCGTTGGTCTAATTATACTGTCGTTGCTTCCATCGTGCTCAATGACTCACCTTTGCTTATCAAGAACCTATCTTTTAAAAGTTTGCAGGGCAAAGCCGGCATCCACCATTTCAACCACGCAGCCAACGCAAGTCTTATTTTACGCTCATAATTCTCATCATATCTGGCGCACGGCGAACATAACTTCCGATAAACGTGGTTCGTTCGCTGTGTGTCCCGCAACATTTCAGATTACGAGCCAGACACTGACATACAAGGTAAGCGATTTTCTTTGCTGTAACGCCAGCATCAACCGGCGATTGCTCAGTTTCCCCGACATTTCGCCCCGTCCTCTGTGCCAACATTAGCGAATTTCACCGTGACGCACCTGTTTCTCAATTTTCTCAAACAGCATCATGATGGAATCCATGACGTTTCCGGCCAGATGCGTGTCCTGCGGCCGCGAGTAGCTCTTCCAGCGGCAGATCTCGGCAAACACCAGCTTCACGAAGATGGGCAGTGAGCAGCGGCCCAGCGCGTTGCTCACCATTCGCATCTGGTAGTTGTTGAGGTCTCGGTGTCCGTCTGTCATCCATCGTCTGACGGTCGGTCGGGGTCAGAGGTCAATGACAGGTCAACGACAGGTCAGTGGTAGGCACCAACCTTCTAGCACGCATTAGACGCTACCGTTTTAACGCGAACACGGAACGGCACTGCAAAAGTATTGTAAGCTACATTGTGTGACGTGCTTGTGGCTATCGGAGAACATGACGAAGTTATCGCCGAAATATCAACATTAGGAGGTAATAAATGGAGAGCTAATAGGCGGGCTTGTTTGCGCTTTGTCTCAACATTCAGCAAGAATGCATGTACCTTTAAGCCTTTGTCTTGACGTCTTTCACGTTCTTACATATTATCACTTCCCAACGCAATATATGCAGAGAACAAGAGGTACTTGAAATGCAACCCGTCTAACTACGGTTAGCACTAGCTTGATGGAATGATAGCTTACAGACTATTCCCTAAGGATACAATGTACGTACGCGCAATTCTCCGTCCCTGAGACAGTGAATCATCCTTATGCGTTGCACAGGTATCCACTCTCCGAAATTGGTCACCCACTTAGCAATGTAACTGGTGCATAATTACGGTCGTAACAATTTGAACGCACATCTACGGAGCGGCCTTGCTGCACGTGCACCTTTGTCGTGGCGAAAAATGGAATTTGGCGGTCTGAACAAACCTTTTTGTATGCGAATCTGGGTCGGATTAGTTTACCTTTATCTGTCAATTATGACCAGATTCGGAGCTGACCCTAATGGATACAAGCGAGCGCATCGATTTGCAGCAAGTCTTCTGCCTCGACACCGCAGCGGCGGCTCCGGAGTCGTGGGCAAAAGCCGTGGTCTAGCGTGATTTTTAGACGGACGACAAGACGACTGATGACAAGAACCACGCTGTCTTTAATGGAAAACTTATACCGGGGTGCTTCAAGATTCTTACGGTGCGTTGTAATTACGATCATATTATCCAAAAGGTTAGCAAACTAAGCTGACGTGTAAAGCCAGCCAACATCGCAGCTTTAAAATACAAAGACACAAATATCTTGAAATATTGATAAAAAGGAACATATTGAATGTAAACTTTTCATTTGCCAAACAGAACTTGATCTTTCATCTACTAATTTCGCAAAACGATCTTTCATTCTCAATCAATTCTCAATCAAAATCATAAAATTTTATTTCAACCTTTATCACAAATGAAATCAGACAGATTGCTCCATCACGGTAACAGTGCACCTGGTCACCCAAGACCACAGTTAATCTAGCAGCACGATTCGGCCTGTCGGGCAATCCACCAACGCACTGACCAGCCATCGCAATCACTTGAGCTTCCCTCCGTTGCTATCTCTCACCGATAACCTTTTAGTGCCTCAAATGACAATTTAGCTCCTGTATGTTTAAAGTCACACTAATCGAGTGACGATTCATTCGGCTCTTTTCTCTTTACTTTCGATCCTCCCATCCCCCGTGATGTCAAGTCTGACAAAGATGATCCGGCCTCAGAGCTGATCTCCAGAGAACTCTGAACTCAGAGAGACTGCACTGTTCAGACGCTACTGAGCCTTGCAGGCCAACATAGCCAGTACGGTTAGCAATAGCACAAACGCTCAGACAGACATCTAGCTACAGTCACGTGTGACAGTATCCAGCGTCCAGCAGCTTAGCAGACTAAAAACGACCCCACAACGCCCTGCATTAGCTGAAGAAAACCGGCCCGTGACCACCCCTGGGCCCTGGTGCCTGGAGATCAGACAGCTATCGAACAGTGCCCAGTCGGTAACAGACTGTCGTGTCTGCTCTGTTTTATGACGATATTTGATCCCGGACACATATAGAACTGGCTTTTCATCAGCGGGGCAGATCGCGACGCCACATCAGCGCTAGTACTGGATATGGAAATGGATAGTGCTGTGCGACACCACCTGATACCGAGCACTAACCAGTGTCTCTCGATGTATGGAGGTGTACCGAGGATGGATACCCGGGAGTGCCAATCACAATTTGATACCGTTGTTATGCAATATACATGCGGAATCTATCTCACCCATCAGACTGTAATCTTGTTCGTCAATAACACTGTTATTTTTCACTGCCGTCCTGCTCACTCACTTGATAACGTCCATGGCCAGGTCGTATCCCAGTGAGGTCACCTCCAGAAAGTTGTCGCTCTCCTCGATAATCTTCCTGAGTGTGACACAGTCCTGGGAGATGGCCGGATCGTTCTCCTCATAGACGCACGAGACCACAATCTGAAGACAGAATGGAGCGCGATGAGCCAAACATGTTTGGCAAGCAGACTGTTTTCTTTTGGTTCAGGGAATCAATCTATTTCCAGCCTTTATTGGTCTATATTAATATCGTAACAATACATCACATACACATCAAGGGAATCTGGGCTGGTGCATTGATGTTGCCCTTGGGGCTATAAGATAATTTTTTGAATTCCTTGGAGCAGACAACATCACCGCGTGAGCTCACCGCCGAACATAATAAACGAAATTGAAAGATGAGTAAGTGGATTACGTTCAATTGCAGGCGTCGACATCCAATTTTCTTCCACCTTGCCCGTCTCGGCTCACCCCAAAACCAGCGAGCTCACGTGCCAGCCGCACCGGCCCTGAATGGCGCGCACGTGAGAGTCGGCTCAGGTTGGCGTCTTGCATCTTACATACCGGCGTCGCTACGTATCAGCTCAGTCGTGGAAGCTCACTGCTGTTGGTACCGGCTATCAATCGCGCACAGGCAGGGTACCGCAGATAGGGCCTTCCACCGGCATAGACGCGAGGGAGGAAGTCTGGTATAGCACCTGCTACTGACCTTGAACTTACGAGGAAGTCTGACAGGGCATGCTACTGACGTTGAATGGGGCGGCAGTTCGGAGGGACCTGCTAATTGCTATTGATATTTACTTTTACATGCAGCGACAGTCTGCTGGGGAGCCAGGCTACCAATTGACATGGTGCGGAACTATGTACCTGCTACTGACCTTGACATGTGGCGGCAGTCTGGTGGGGAGCCAGAGGACCAATTGACATGGGGTGGCAGTCTGGTAACACTTGCTACTGACCTTGACATGTGGCGGCAGTCTGGTAACACTTGCTACTGACCTTGACATGTGGCGGCAGTCTGGTGGGGAGCCAGAGGACCTTGACATGGTGCGGAACTCTGGTATGTAGCACCTACTACTGACCTTAACATGTGGCGGCAGTCTGGTGGGGAGCCAGGGGACCAATTGACATGGGGTGGCAGTCTGGTAACACTTGCTACTGACCTTGACATGGGGCGGCAGTCCGGTAGCCCGTAGCATTTGCTACTGACCTTGACATGCGGCGGCAGTCTGGTGGGGAGCCAGAGGACCAATTGACATGGGGCGGCAGTCCCATGTCTACTGACCTTGACAAGTGGCGGCAGTCTGGTGGGGAGCCAGAGAACCAATTGACATGGGGCGGCAGTCTGGTAACACTTGCTACTGACCTTGACATGTGGCAGCAGTCTGGTGGGGAGCCAGGGGTCCAATTGACATGGGGCGGCAGTCTGGTAGCCCGTAGCACTTGCTACTGACCTTGAAATGTGGCGGCAGTCTGATGGGGAGCCAGGGGACCAGTTGACATGGGGCGGCAGTCTGGTAGCCCGTAGCACTTGCTACTGACCTTGACATGTGGCGGCAGTCTGGTGGGAGCCAGAGGACCAATTGACATGTGGCGGAACAGCAGTCTGGTAGTACCTGCTACTGACCTTGACATGCGGCGGCAGTCTGGTAGCCCGTAGCACTTGCTACTGACTGACCTTGACATGCGGCGGCAGTCTGGTGGGGAGCCAGAGGACCTTGTTGGCGTCGGTGGCCCCAGTCAGCTGGTCCACGCTGTCCAGGAACATCAGCAGCGGCTGAAAAAGCAGCAGAACATTCGGGAAAATGTTGACAATTAGGTGAAACTTGCAGCACCCACATACCTAAACCGTATTAGCATATAAATTAATTGTTAGTGTACGGTGATTGTCATTAATTTATCATTTGTAAGCCCAGCAAGACTTCTGTAGCAAACAATGCAGAGTGAATAACATTTCAAGATTTCTATCTGAATTTGGTGTAGTGCAATAATGCCGGCAAAGCCTGGTAAGCTCTTAGTTCGCAACACCATTGTTTGCAAAGAAACGAGAAGCAAATAAGTCAAAGCCTCGACAAACAGTATGCCTAAGACGCTTGAAGCCTCGACTTTCAGGGCTCACACCGTTCAGCCGGAAAGCGAACTTCCCTGTACCCATTGGGGGCTTTTCTGCCTCGGGGCGAAACGACCCTCCTCCCACGCAAAACGCACAGCCGCCCGCAGCCGCGCACTATGCGGGCATCATCAGTCGTCGGGCACATCCGTCTCTCCAAATCGGGCCATCGGAAGACGCGTGTGGCCGTACAAATGTAGTGTCGTACTACAGGTCAGCTAGAGTGGGCGGCGGTGACCGAGACACGTGTCACGGGGAGCGGCGTGAACCGTCGGTATACTCGTAATGAGATCGGTCATCGGAGGTTGACCATGAACCTCATGCCGGTCAGGGTCGGTGGAACCCCTGCTGAGTGTGCATTATGCAACATGTGCACGCATAGGATCCAATCCTTGAAATCTCGCAGGATTAAGTGAATCCATGGTTCAAAGCGTGTGGTCTGAGGGTTCCTTTGCATGAAGATACAAGCTCTTTAATGACGAAACATTATCTTTACCCATAAAGATACAATGTTTTTTTTTGTGGTGAGATAGCGTGGACACCGGACAAATACAATGTATGGAAGAACCGATTTTAATTAGAAATGGTCACTCACAGTTAGTTAACAAATTTCTAGCTGATTGTAAACTGATAGATTCAGCTTGTCCTTTCACAACCCTCAAATTGTGCTATTTTTGCTCCTCAGATTGGTTTCTTTTTTGTCACATATTCTTCTCAAATGACATCGTTTAGTGCAGGCCGTTCGGTACATTTAATCGGCTTTCGGCAGCGAGACGAATTCTGTTTACATAACGACAAAACTTGACGCAGTAAGATGCTCGGCGGTCGGGTCGGGAGAAACATCCAGCAGAGTTTTATGAGATACTAATGAAATTGCCCAGACAACTTCGCGTTGAGATACAGATGTGATATTCAGACGGCGAATTTATGCCCCGATCAATAGCTGGCTACCTGTCAGTGGGAGGATTAACTTGCTGATTGGTCTCCCCTGAGTATCGGTAATGGCCTCTTGGCGCCTGTAGCTGGCAGCTTGCGAAATCACCTGGCTCACCTGGTTCACAGGGTGGTTTTCCGGAGCAAAGATAATGTTTTATGTCCCCATAATGCATTCCCATTTACCATTGTCACATCCATTTTTCAGCAACAGTGAGCCACAAGAAAACACTGACTTTCGGTAGCGGTAAAACCAAACAACGACAGTAGCCTGTGGTGGGTCACGCCGCGGAGATAAGTTCTTCTTGTCACTGGATTTGGCTCCACTGCATCGCTGTGACCAGGAGACGTGCCAGTGGTCACCTAGCAGCTGTTAAGCGGTCATCAGTCTGGCCCACGATAACTACTGACCTGAGGCCAGGTTTACCAACAGAAAAATAGCCGCCTGTCGGATTTTTTTGCCTAAAGACCGCTTCACATACGGAGCATAAACGGTAATGCCCTTTCCGCTTACGTGCCCATCGCGTTTACGCTCCGTTTGTGAAGCGGTCTTTAGGTAAAAAATCCAGCAGGTGGCTATTTTTCTGTTGGTAAAACTGGCCTCTGATCTGCTTTCTGACAGGCAGTGATCACTCACCTGTTCCTTGGTGGCGTTCAGCAGCAGCTCCTTGAGGTGCGCCGTTAGCGGCACCATCTCGTCAGGAATGTCGTCAAACGGCAGCATCAGGTTGTAGGAGATTTGGTGGCACAGAGATATCAGCATCGGCGTCACCGCACTGGAGTCAGGTGTCGTGCCTGTGGAGGGACAAACTTCGAGTCACGAACGCACATAGGAAATGTCGAGCTACCGTCGTCCTAGCAGAGTTAAAAAAAAGGTAATATGGGTTAATAATTAACCTAAAGCCCGGTTCTGACTGCCGTTTTTCGATCGTTTGGTGGATCGTATGGTGATCGTATCGTGATCGTATGGTGATGGGATGGGGATCGGCACGCCCGTTTCTCGATCGCCGCGATGGTAATCGTACAGGGTGTTTCACAATAAATGTTACTTTTGAAAAGCTTAAATGAAGATCTTACTTGTTCGTAAGCGCGTAAATTTTATATGCATTTTGCTGCAAATTTGTAGCGGTTTTTAGTCCTTACATTTTTTTTTACAAACCGTCAACGGTTCCATCAGTATGGACGTGCAATGCCAACACCGTCAAAACGGGTCAATTCGCCGTGTACAGATGATGAGGCGGTATGGGTGGTCATGCATTACGGCGCTTTGCGGAGTCTGACCGCAGTGCGACGGAGTTTCGGTAGCCATTTAAAAGGAGGAAGGATATTCCGTCAAAAATGTCTTTCAAACGGGTAGTAGAAAGGTTCCAGAAGACTGGAAACACGAGACCAGCCCCGACTCCTGGCCGGACGGCGATCCCAGAGAATCTGGTTGAAAAAGTCAGACGGAAGGGTGGCATATTGGAGAACCCGTGAAGGGTGCTGAACTGAAAGTTATATGTTCATTAGTCCTACTGTTCTGCTGTCTCATGAGGTAATACTCATGAGCCATATTGTAATACATGTCACTGAAACATCGTCGTTTGAAAAGCAACATTCATTGTGAAGGACCCTGAAGCTTAACAGCGAATTGACCTGTTTTGATGGTTTGGACATTGCACGTACATAAAGAATGCAGTTGATGATTCGTCATAGTTTTTGTAAGGATAAAAACCCGAAAGAATTTGCAACAAAATGAATATGGAATTTATGGGCATACGAATAGCTGAGGTCATTTTAAAAGCTTATCAAAAGTAACGTTTATTGTGAAACACCCTGTATGTGTGCAGTGAGAACCGGGAAAAAACGTGACTGTGCGCGTCGTTCGGTAGCGGCAGATCGTACGTCGTAGTGCGTTCCGTCGAAAGATGGATTGAGTTTATCTTTTGTCTTGATCGTATCGTACAGTTGACATCGTGTGGGGAACTCGCTGTGCTGCAGCTTTTCTTGCTGCTGTCTTGTGGAAGGTTTGTGCTAACATATTTGATATAACTTATCTTATTAGTAGCATACTTTAAATAAATCACGGTGACTATAAATAAATAAGCTTGATTGACATACTTATAATCAAAGTAGGTACTTCCACTTAGAAGATACCATACGAAAAATCATTGATTCGTTCAGGTGCGTCAATTGCATCAAAGTATTAATTTTATTGCACGAAAAAGTCTTACCCGATAATGTTAATTTGATACTTAAATTAAAGAAATGTTTTAACTACATTTAACCTCTTTTAAGTCTGAAAAGTATTAATTTCCGTTCATGGCGGCCAATCAACGCGCTTCCCTCAGATGACGTCATCTGTGCGCCTGCGCTCTGCCGAGCAGGCAAGTCTCGTGCAGGGTTACCGCTGCTAGGGAAATTTCCCTTTTCTATGGAAATCAGCGAAGATCTAGGGATATATGGATTTCACTCGAAATCTAGGGAAATACCACCAACCCAAAAAAATTGTTGTTTTTGCCTGCTTCTGCGTTGTTCCATTTCGGGAGCGGCTAATTTTTTACATCAAAGTTTTTGTTTTGGCGCAATTTTTACAATGTGGCTAGCGCATATCACTCCCATTCGGTCAAACTGACGGTGCAAAATAATGCATCGACTCGTCTCTTACGCCAGCACTACCGCTACCCATACAGCAGTTTCCCGCGTCCTGCAACACACCACAATTTGCGATATATCACGCAATTATATTATACCACATACAGTAATGAGTAATTTGCTATATGCCAGCAATTTCATCAGAATCTCTTACGTTAACGTAACAGAATGTAGTTAATTGCTGTTTTAGGACGCAGCGACTATAACCATAACGGCGGAACGGGAAAGGCACCGGGGCACCGTGCCCCTTTGATTTTGGCATTTTAACATTAGCCCTATGGGCGTTGCATGGAAAGATGGGACCAAAAGTCGTCAGTGACCCCCCCCCCCCTTAATTGAAGGTGTTCCGCCGCTACTGACTATAACACGAATGGTTAAAATGAGGAAAGTACATCAAATTCCATGAAAATAACCGCATCTAGGGAAATTATTCTTAAAAAAGGGAAATTTTCGTGAGAATCTGGGGAAACCAGCGAGACGCCAGCGGTAACGCTGGTCTCGTGGTGACCGGCGATTTACCGGCGACACCGGAGGTGGTACATAGATATCTTACCAATGAATTTTTGTCAATTTCAACGAACCGATTTTCAAGAAAACCGATGCACAGCATTCACAATACTCACTTTTAGGTTGTAGGTTACTTTCCAGGACAATTTGACATGATTTTGTATTTTTCCACGCATTTTCAAAATTGCGTACCTTCCACGGCCGAGAATGGATTCCGCCGCCATACTGCTCAAATCAAGCCGAAATGTTGATTAACTTCACGGAATAGTCAGAGCCGACTACTCAAACTAAATTATTGAATTAGAGAGATGTTTTAAACTACATTTAACTTCTCTTCAAGCGTAAAAAGCATTTATTTCGTTCTTATCTATCACCGCCGGCAGTAATGGCGGACGCAGACTCCCACACGATACGCACGATCCGCACGATACGATCTACCAGTTACCAGATCGTATCGGGCCTAGAGATTTTTATCTTTTTCCGCCAGCCACGCTCACCATACGATCACCATACGCTTACCATCCGCTCCGATCGATTTCGGCAGTCAGAACCGGGCTTAAGAAAGAGCAATCGGAGTCTGAGGGAACTCGATTGCAATTACGGGAAAATAATTAGACCACTTTGGAAATATCGAAGACGATGTGCACTTCCGGAGCTCAATGTCATAGTTGAGTTGCCTGCAATCATGTCAAGTTTTGATGCGGTCATAAACAAATATTCTATTGCAGTTGGCTTGGGGCCCGTTGATCACATATCCACATCGAGTTTTCAATCGACGGCGAGACAGAAATAACGGCGCAATAAAACCGCCGTTTCTTGGATCGGGTCTCAGATACCATCTCATTTTAGGAACCATTTAAAAGTCATTGTATGGAGCTCTTCAATATGATATCCTATTTCATTCTTTTGAGAACGAGCCAATAACTAATCGAAAAACTTCCCGATACTTGCAATGCATCTGGAAAGAGCTATCTAGAGACTCATAACCAGCCGACGCCGATGTTTTACTGTCGTACAGTAGTAAAGACGTAAAACTAGCCCACGAGCCGCTGGGGGGGGGGGGCATAAAGTTGCCCCCCCTTTACGTTTTGTGAAATATCTCCGAAACCTGATGAGCTACGAACGTGAAACTTGGCATAGCTTCAAATGAATACCTAGGCAATGTTTGAGGAAAGTTTGGTGGTTGTAGCACCTAAGATGACGTCACAGTGACGTCATAAAGTTTTGCCGTTTTCCGATATGGACCGTTTCTGATGACGCTGAGCATGAAACTCAACTGTAAATGAACTAGACAGCACCGGCTGTCATCCTAAAACATCTAACTACACTTCCATCTAGTTTCTGACCAATAATCGGTCCTTCATATTCGGTTCCATATATCTGATGTATCGTGAGGAATATGAGAGTCGCAAATCTATAATTTCACTTATGACGTCACTGTGACGTCATTAAAAATGGGATCAACACCAAATTTGGACACAACCTCGGCTAGGTATTCAGGAAGATGTGTGCAAAGTTTCGCTTCTCTATCTCTTCGCGTTGCGACGATATCGTCGGAGAAGTAAAGGGGGGGCAACTATATGCCCCCCCCAGCGGCCGGCGGGTGGCGCGGAGGCCCAGCGGCCGCCGGGCTAGAGAAGGATTACGTTTATCTAAAAAAATGTTTATATGGACGTGTATATTGCGTAGATCGTTCAGCTGACCCATGTAAAGCATTTAACTTTTAGAGTTCGAACAGATAAGCTACATCAATAAAATAAGTCACATAGTTAAATTGCACTGTTGAAAAAAAAACATGTACAACAGTCCATAGCGAAAATAAAGCAATTAACCACATTATACCAAGGAGCTGATTTCCAACGGACGCTCACCTAGGAAGCGCATGATGAGCAGCGGTTTGCTGGGCGCCAGCCACTCTGAACACAGCGAGGCAGACTTGGCGAGCAGCGAGGTCTTGCCGCAGCCCCCCTCGCCATGCAGGACGAGTGGCTTGCTGGACGGTCCCGTGATGTAGGCACGCACCTTCTCCAGATCCTTCTCACGTCCGTAAAACACCTGGACAGAGCAGAGAGGCTAAATTAGAGCCGATAGCGAGTTATCTAAAAAACGGAAAACGGAAAACGGCAACTAGCTAAAAACAGCGACTGATGGCACCATCATAGACAAACCGCGAGCGACAGTGACACTAAAGGCTGAAACAGACTCTTTCCGCGTTCAGGAAATCGCATGCGAGAGCCTATTCCAATACATTAAATTTTCCCGCATCAATCGCATCCGGGAGGTGCGTGCGATTGATGCGAGCGTGCTTCCATGTATTTGAATAGGCTCTCGCATGTGATTTCCTGACTGCGGAAAGAGTCTGTTTCAGTTCAGGCATAACACCCACAGGCTTATTGCACAGAAACCTTGACGGAGTTGTTACGGCTACACATACCCTGACGGAATTGTTACAGGCGTGCAGATGCTGCAGCAGCTCGGTGATGATCTGGCCCTGCGCGCTCGAATCCTCCTTCCTCATAGCTCTGTCCACCAGCTTCACCATGTTCTTGTAGAAGTGGGTGATGAAGTGCTGCAGGTACTCCTGGTGGGTGTCCAGGTCGAGTCCCTCCCGACCCGTCCATTCCACCGTGTACCTGACCACAGAGCAGGGGCGGGCTCATCTAACGGATTGTGAACCAGTGCAACAAACGGCACTGATCGGGTTACAATGGCGCAGTCGCTTATTTTGGTGAGCATCATAGGTACAACTGAACCTAAATGGCGCCTCTTAATTGCATTACGGGTATTTTAGGTGTAGCTTGGTAGCTCTTACGTTGCTTATGTTACGGCTACATGTCTATGTTTTGTGGTTGGTAATTTCAACAGTAAATTGTCAGTTCGGGTTCGGAGGACCCAAACACTATTGCGCGATACACTGACGCACCCATATTATGTGTCAATTATTGGACTAATGTTACAGCCACCGTCAATCCAACACAGCCCACCCATCCAGGTTCAATGCCCTTTCGGCTGAACATGACCGGCCCATACCATCTTTAAGTCAGTATGCGTAGTGATTGATAAAAAGATAATGGAGTTTTTGAAATAAATTGTCTCCATTTAAATGTCAGCCTTAGCAATAGAACAGGGATTGAAATAAAATACATGCAGTATAAACTACCAGTTCCTAAAATAAATAATACCCACAAATTACGGTATTATGATTCCACAAAGCGTAGTTACCAGAAACTTTCAAAGACGATTGCAATTAACTTATTTTTGTGAATCATGAAATGAAACAGAAACATCGCAAAATCAAAGCAGGACTCAAAGCAACTCACCAGCGATATTATCCAATCGTGATCTAATTTCCGCACATTCATAGCCCTCAACTTAGAAAATTCACAGAGCATCTCTGCAGGTGTTTAGTACCTTTCTGATCTCTGAAACTGATCACCGATGGACCCTCTCTGACCTTCAAGCATTAACGCGAGCCCTGTAACCCCTCTGGCCTCCAAGAACTAATGTGACGCCTCTGACCTCTGAAGGTTGGTCGTCTCGATGCGCGCTGGCAGCCGGTTGTCGCGAAGGTCCGACAGCAGCTTCACCGACTCTGTGTCTATGTTGCGGTTGATGATGTCGATGAAGTTTGACGCCCGCTTGATGTTCTGCATATTGATGTTGTTGATGTATCGGACGTAGGCCAGACAGTGGTTCTTCGTGTTTTTAACGGAGAGGATGCCGCGAATCACCTCGCGTTCCGTTACTGTGGGAAACGGGATGGTATTACAGACGTCATCGCATCGTTACCGGTGATCCTTGATCATTTATATGTTTGTCTTATTCCAGTTAACATAAGCCGTTTTCACGACGGCCATCTGGTACACATTTGGTGCGTGCACATCTGGTGCAGATTTGGTCAAATTAGGTGCACTCGACGGATAGCCCGTCGTGAAAACGGCTAATACCATCGTCATTGTTTTTATTTTACTTTCAATCAATTAAGTTATATCTTGTAGTATAATGCAATGTAATACAATATTGCATTACCGCTTATAATATAATCCTTACAACGTCCTTGCCAGCCATTAAAATGAAATTAACGTATGCTGTGTTTTGAGGCATCCAGTTTGGTTTTCAACCGCTAAATGTAACCAAATTTAGGTATGACATGCGCTTCTCGTCAACCTCTCTAAATGTTCCAATTTTCCATCAATATTTTCATTTGCTTTCCTCCCAACTCCTGGACATTTTCGCCAAACCTGAATAAAACGCATGTCATATGATTTATTCAAACCAATGGTCGTATGAGGCACTCTGGCGTCGCCTACGGAGTGCGGAAGGACAGTTTGTTTGAAAAGACTTCAGACAAACTAACATTGACATAAATATGCCCCTCGGCGCTGCATGCAGGAAGTCTCGTGACACAACTGAATTGATCCCGATGACAGATGACAGAGGCCTGGCCCACCCTGCTGAATAATAAGAGTGCAATCCAGCTGCATATTTTAGTAACGCTCGCGATTCAGACAGAAGACAGAGTGAAAGTGAGATTGACTTGATTTTTGGGACAAGAGCCGTGTCAGGGACAGTTATACGAGCAAACATTAACCATTAACCAATGAAGGCTCTCTCATGAATGATGAAAAATCAATGACTTCGGCTCACATAGGGGAAGCCGGGGGAAGCCCGGCATAGTAAGCTCTTTTCCATTTTTATTACATACCATACGTGCTGTATAAAATGTTGATATCCTGTTAGCTAGCTAAGTTCATTGGTCGTGTTTTCCCAAAACTTCGGTTTCGTGGAATAAGTATAAGGTTGAGAAAATCGAGTTTTAAAAAAGTGTTGATTTTTCTGGGGTAAGCCCGGCATAGGGGTACCTAACGCCGGCCACCTCCCCAGCGCTTTACAATGAGTTGATGAAACCATTATGTGTCTTCCAAATATTAACGGAAAGTGAAATATTAAGGTACTGATTAGCTCTGGACATCTTAGAGTTTATGTCACTACTGGTATTTTAGCTAGCGTCTACCACATATACAGTACAGGTCGATGAAAATCGTGATGCAAAATTGACAAAAAATGTGTATTTCAAAATTCCTTAAAATTTATTTTTCTTTTTACATTAATGCATCATATTGCATATCATTCGACTCGGCTGATGAAGAAGAACACAACGACACCATTTTTGAAGCTCTAGCTTCATTGTCTGCCGCGTTATATGCAAAAACGTAGTTTGACCCTAGTTGACCTTAAGTGACATGACTGGCTTTGTCTATGATAACATGTTTATTTTCGAAATTTATCTTTGATCTAGGTGTAAACCAAACCTGCTCAATACCTATTATATCATGGAAAACAGTGGTTTAGTGGCATTGCTCTCGGTTGGGGGTAAGCTTGGCCACTCGCCCGGGGTTACCCCAATGTGCTAATTTTTATTTTAGAACAGCGATATTCGAAAAAAATGTCATACTTAAGCCAGCCTGCCTCGACACCCCTCACTACAAACACTTAAACGGTCCTTACATAACATTCGTATAAATATTAGTACTGTATGGTATAACATTAACAGTGCAACATATCTCACTTTTTAGCTAAAAACCCTTAAAATATCATTTTTGCGCTATAACTTTAACAATATGCAATTTTTGTTAGCCTTAACTTTTTTGCTGGCGTTACCTTAGCTGCCACGCTGAAAGGACAAACAGTTGAGCATTGTATTGTGAATAATTTAACCGGAAACGGGGTGGCCGGGCTTCCCCCGCGCCCGGGCTTCCCCCGGCTTCCCCTACAATGCAATCACAGAAACACCACAAGTGCAAATGCAGTACATACTGTAGCTGGAGCTCTCTGCACATATTGGATGGTTCGAAGCCTCACACAGCGTTTATTACATGTATGTACACCGGCAATAAATGTGAGCATTTGTGCGGGATCGGTTCTACTCAATGTAATCACTCCGAAGAACTACCCTCTATGAGTACGCCAAGCCACCGAGGTCCGGGTGCCAACAAACGACGATCAATGCCATTAGCACTTAGCAGCCTAGTAACATTAAAACCTACCTCGTTCTTTGCAAATTAAGAACGTTACGCAAATCCACAACCGTAATTAATGAGAATTCAAGGGAAATGATTCATTCAAATGATAAACATTTGGCAGAATTAAGCTAATGCGGTATGGTTTTTGTGATCATTCTATACCATCCAAAGCCAACTTCGCAAAAAAGAAAACAAAGAAAAGAAAACGTCGAAGTGTGAAGGAAGAAAAAGTATTGTCTTCCAGGTCTGTCAGTAAATTCACATTCTTATGTTAATAGGGTAACCACGTTTATAAGAAACAAGTTGCACACACAGCCCATTTTCTGCTCAATGAACACTGTGTAGGCATAAAATCCTTTTAAAAAAGATCGCAGCTACCCGCCTTCTCCATTGACGACACCATAGCCCAGCGAAGACACGATCAAAACCTTACCTGCCATGAAGTAGTTGTGCATAGCCTCGTGGTCTATCTTATTCGTCGAGTACAGGGTTTGAGCGGCTTTTCGGAAGAGCTTTTGCATCTTGCACATATTATCCCACCACGTCGCTTGGTCTTCCTGCTGGAGTTTTGGAACACGCTGGAAAGAAAATATGCTTACAGATAAATTTATAAAGATCGGATCATCTTGCTCGCGCACTTGTTTGTGGTTTGCTTATAAATTTGCCTTGTTTCAGCCTATGACATGACTGATGGGCACTATTCGTGTTCTTTACTGTTTTATTCAAGAGCCAGATCGATGTTAATTGCTCATCGAGCACTACGTCTTGCTTTATCGCCAAAACTTTCTAACTATTATAACTATTATATAATAATCTAACTCGGCACCGTAGCGATAGAGGCGCCCCAAACTTAAATAGCATCGGAAGCCATCTGATAGCTGTAAAGCAATCGAAGAGAAGAATGGGGACAAGTTGGGCTACCACTCCGCCGAGCCTCTCCAGTTCACACGCCCCTGAGGATTCCCGATTTCATCAACTTTTCCGGACATTGTGAAGGGCTTTAGTAACGCCTGCCCGTTGAAATGAAGGCTGGGTGAAAAAAAGCCATTACAAAGAAATTTACAAAATAAAGCTTTTTGTTACAAACCGCATAACTTTCAACCTGCTATTAACATGCTAAGCAAGAGGAGTCTCAAGAAAAATAAGAGACTGATAAGCGGGCATTTTTCAAAACTAAAACAATTAAATCAAGGGCAGATCGTCCACTCTCATAAAATGCCGATAATCTACTACGATTGCCCGTGCCACCAATCACATCAGGAACGTCAATTATAAAACCGCAAGGACAAGCAAAATAAAGCAAATGCTGAATTGTACAACGAGACTTATACTCTGAAGGGCGAAGGCCGACTTTCCCACCCTTCAGCTGCGGAGTAAGACCTGTGGCGATTTAGCATGTGACGTTGCCGGCCTGTAACATTGCGACCTGTGACGGTACATCCTGTGACGGTGCGACCTGTGACGGTTCACACTGTGACGGTACATCATGTGATAATGCGGCCTGTGACTGCCCAGCCTATCTGACGTCGCTCACCTTGTTGTTGAAGTTGATGAGTATGGAGGAGATGGGCTGCAGGATGTAGATGGCCGGCACGGCGTTGGTGTCCTTCATGTACCAGGTGTCCAGCAGTGTGACATCGGTGCCCATCGCCAACAGCGCGTCCCGCAGCATCACGAACTCGGAGGCCACGATGTAGGTCGGGATCGGGCGGTAGCCGTACTTTTGTCCGAGAAACACCTGCCGGCCGTCGTACAGAAGAGGTGGCACGGGGACGGGACGCAAGCGTTCTTACTGCGCCTCTCCGCCATTTATAACAAGCATCAGTATCATTGCTAGAGCCATAAGTATTCATACTATTGATGCACAATGGGCGGAGGATTACTAAGATTAATGGTGAAAGGCGAAAGCTACCAGTAACAATAACCAGGCGAGACGGTGCTGAAAAAATAATATAGAATACACAACACTCAGAAAACACTTTGAGAACATTTTTGAATAAGGGCTCATATGAGTGCCAAAACAGGGCTCAAATCTGTATGATTTTAAAATCGGGATCAGTTAGGCGCCCTTTTCGGGCTCAAAGTACATTAGCCCCGAAAGCGGCATCAGTTCGTCTTCCTTTTCGGGCTCAATTCGAGCTGCGTTTTAGGGCTCAGTGCTGCCAGATTTGGAGGATTTCCGCAAATCTGGAGGATTTTGAACTCTATTTGCGGACAAATTTCGCTTTTGGAGGATTTTTGATTCTGGAGGAAAATCTGGAGGATTTGTCGCCCGATTATTGTATTCAATTTCATGGAAAAATATAACACATTCAAGACTAAAAAGGCATTTTCCTGCCCAGCGTCACCCTACCCGTTAGGATATATCACGTCCTTTATCACCGTAAGGCGTAAGACTGCAGAATGTCTCAGTCTGTAGCTATATCTACGAGGGTACCAAACTACTGGCGGATCTAAGGGGGACATTTGGGGCAAATGCCCCCGGCCCCAATGCAGCGCCCGAAATCGACGAAAACTTTCGTTTTTTTCGGAGGATAAGACGAAAACTAAACAACTTTTATAAGAAAAAGTATCTTTTAAACTGCACAGCAGTGCGAAAGGATTCGAAATCCGATGAGTTTTTAGAATTTGGTGAAACTTTTTTGGGGGTAGGTATAGGCTATACCCCCCCGCAGCGTCCAAGACCGCCTTTCTATATCTACCAATAGGATTTGGAGGAATCTGGAGGATTTTTGTAACTGATCTGGAGGATTACAGCCTTCCCCATCTGGCAGCACTGTTAGGGCTCCATACGACATTCCGCCATTCCGTCTTTTGCTGTTTTCAGTGCCATGTGTTGGTGTACCTACCGCCGTGATTTCAAAATGAATGGTAAGTTATTAGTTATCAGTTATCGCTATCTTTTAGAAAAAATCAAGATGTTGATGCTCATGCCATTTTAATCCCTTATCAATTAAAATTGTGGTGGCATTTGTTCAGAAAAGGTCTGATCTACAATTGTGGCGCCGTTGATACGAATACGCACGGGTTTGATTATTCGTTTTTCTTGTATTTGCGCCACATGAAAGCATCATATCTGGATTCAGGATGTCAAATAGTGTAAGAATGTGCAAAAATTTTGTCTGGTTCTTCGTGATGATGTGATTGAAGCAATGCTTTCAAGGGTAGGTAAGGATTTTGTTACTTGTTCGTAATGGTTATCTTGATGCTCAACTAAAATTAATCCTAACCTTGCCTACTAACCTATTAAGTTAAACTTAGTACCAATACCTACCAACCTACAACCTATTTGGATCTTTCATATACTTATAACATGCTGCTGCTTCTGCTAACATGCTGCGGAATGCTGGTTGACATGATGGAATGCTGGTATGACAGTGTTCCATGTTTCAGAATTTTAGGTGAATAACCACACATGATGGGGAAAATGTTTTCATCCTAAAAATATGACAAGTGGCTTTATTTCATCTTTGCTAAAAAAAATATGTCAAAAGATTGATTCAACAGCCAGCTGCCAGGTTACGCATGACTTGACAGTTGATGCATCTACTCTACATCATTTCATTTCAGATCCTGTGAAGGTTCTGACAAAATCTGAGGTAAAAATGGCATTATGCAGTTTTGCGGAAAGACTAAATCTATCTCATTTTGTCTTCAGATTTTTTTTTTTTTTTATTGGGACACCCAATTGAAATCCAATTTTAGAACACTGTGACACCATGCCTGTGTGCCAAGTAAGAGGAAGGGTCTACAAGTATACATCAAGATAACCAATTATGGACAAGTTGAGACTTGAGTCATGAGCTCTTATTTGTGGTTACAATGCCTTCAACTGCATGATTTTGCACAACTTCCATACAGGCATCCAGACTGGAAAAGGTTCAAGTCCATACTTATTCTGGTGCTTGAATATGGCAGTTCAAAGATGGAAGGCATATGATGCTACAAAATGAAAAAAAATAATTCAACTTACAAAAAATAGGTATTCATATCTATCCTAAACTAAACTAACCTAAACTTACTTAACCTAATCCAACCCAACCCAACCACCCCAACCAGCCCAGCCCAGCCCAACCCAGCCCAGCCCAGCCCAGCCCAGCCCAGCCCAGCCCAACCCAACCCAAAACCTACAGTCTAAAACCTAGAGCTAAAACCTGCAGCCCAAACTGGAAAACATCCATATGGTACGCCGGACGCCCGTGAAGCCGTCATGCGCCGAAGTTCGGCGCAAGCTATTTTGCAATTTGCGCTGAAATTTCTGCATTATTTGCGCCGAAGGTTAGTGCCCTTTTGCGTCAAAATTAAGCCACTTATACAAAAAGCACGTTTACATCTGCTGGCCAAGGTTTTATAAACCAGACAGAACGCTCTGGGCCTTAACCACTCCTGACTCCCATGTTTGAGCGTCCAAATTAGTTGATGTTTCCATGGAAGCTGAATACCACAATACGTGTAGCGCACTGTAGCATCGTGCCGTGAAATAAGGCTCGGGACGGAAGTTCCGGTGTCACAAAAATTGGTGTGGCGGTGTTGTCGCGGCTGGCGGTCTCCAGCAAGGGGTTTAAGTTTACGACACCACTCTTGTTTCAGGAGAGGTGTCAGCGATTCGAGACTACTTGGGCATGCGGGCAGCGGGGTCGGCGTGGCTGCCTGCGGCTGCGGCCACACATCTTGGCGTCCTGGAGGCGGAGATGCTGATGGTGGCATGAGTCATCACTGGCTGCCCGATTTCCATGCTCCAAGACTCGCCGTGAGGGCCGAGGCGGGCGTCGTGCCGATGGAGAGATGAGGAGGGATGCGCTGGCATCGCGCCTACTGGCGAAGGCGCTCTCCCTCCCGTCGGAGGACCCGCCGCGTCGTGGCGGAAGCCCCCCCCCCCAACCGTGACTGAAGTCAGTGACCGGCTGGAGAGAGCGCGGGGGAGCGGTGTGGGACCACTGGAGTGGCGCTGCCCGCCGAGGCGCGCTTATCCACGAGACTGCCCCCGTAGACGCCAACAGACGGCGTCACGGTCCACCTGGACCTGCTGCCGATCGGGGCGTCCGCGACAGCGAGGAGGAGTGCTGCGGAGGCGTGACTGGGAGCGCTCCCCCAGCGTGCGACGTGGGCCTGGGTCGACGGGTCTGCGACCGGGGGAGTAATAGGAAGGCGGCGCTGGGGTCCTCACCGAGCACCCAGACAGTACAACATTGGTACTGCGGGAGGCGGCGGGGAGGATTTGCTCCATTTACCGATCTGAGATGGTGGCGCCCAAAACGGCAAAGCAACATCTCCTGAAGCACCCGTCCTTCGAGGAAGACCCCATAATCATTTGCTCCGACTCGCAGGCGTCGCTGGCGACGCCACGAGGTGGACAAGTGGCCCAGACACCCCCCCCCCCCTCATCCCCTAGGTGCCGCCATCTGGGAGTATATGATGGCCCTAGTGGCTGTAGGGGGCCGAAGAATCCACCATAGAAGGAGGGCGGCGATAGCCCGATTAAGCTAGGCGTCCAGTGGAGCCTCGGCTCTATCATGGGCATTGGGCAAGGACTCTGCGAGCACCCCCGTCTCCTCCATCTTCGACGGCACTCCAGTCAGAAAGCTGTCCCCACCCGAGTTTCCCAGCAGCATGGGCCACATGAAACCGAACAGCGCCGAGCCGCTCGACGCTGAGGACCAGGCGAGAGGAACAGTGAAAAGGTGAAACGCTCGAAACGGCGCGCGCCGCCGGCCGAGGGCGCCGAGCCGGCCCAGGCCGGCTGCGGGTCAAACAGAAGCCGTCTCCGCGGCGGCCGCCCAGTGACAGCGACTCGGACTGACGTCGAGGCACCGCTGCCGCCTCCGCCGACCAACCCGCCGCCCAGCAAGGGCAGTTTGAAGGCGGCTGCGCCGGTGAAGGTGGCGCGGCCTGGCAGGGGCCGCGGCCGGCCCACTCCCAGCTACCCGTCCCGCGAGGTGCTCAGTACCACCGACTCGTCCGATTCTGAGGCAGCGCCGTCGGCGGGCCGCCGCCAGCAGTGACGACGACCGGCTGGCGGCGTTCGCGCGGGACTTGTCCGACTCCTGGTACTCGGACTTGCCGCCCAAACTGGACGCCGGCGGCGTGAGCACCAGCAACGCCAATAAAAAGTCCACCTTCATCCGGCTCTTCTCGCACCGTGTCAAAAGGACTACGCCGCGCGGCCGGCCGGCCAACTCGAATGAGCGCAGCGAAGGGCACACGTCCCCGACGGCGGCACTGGCGCCTCCCGCCGCGCCGCTGCCGGCGTTGCTGGCAACGCCGATCCAGGCCCATCGATTTCTACTGTTTTGTTGCCTACGTGCCGCTGCCGCCGCTCAGCCAGCACAATGGCGTGCCGGTGTTGCGCTGTCGGATCGAAAAGCGGCTCGTGCAGCGGACGGACGGGTGCGGCCCGCGCGATGAGCCGCCGCCGCACACCGAGCTGCGCCGCGCGGACGTGAAGGTGGAGCTGGCAGCGGCCTGCTCAGTCCCCTCAACGGCGTCGACCGGCTCTCCGGCGATTTGCGGTCAGAAACGCCGCCGCTTCTGGGACCAAGGTGTCAGAGCGCGGCGCTGCCCGTGAGACGTTAAGTTAGCACAGGCAATGTCGTCTGCACTCCTTGCAGTTCATGTTGAATACACAACCATGTTGCGAAGTAATAGGCGCCGGGTTTTTCAGTTCATAGAACTTTTTCCCTGGCTATTACACCCCACAACCGAACACTGACACCTTGCACAAGTATGACTGTGTGTATG